CAAAGGGTCCTATGTAAAACTAAGTCCCCCGCTGGGGGCCATCTTGGATGATGGATCAGCTACAAAGTAACAACACTTGGTCAGCATCTCATAAGGAAGATTCATGCCATGTTTGGTTTCATTCCATTCAGTGGTTCACTAAAAGAAGACATTTGTATGTATTTCCCATAGGGTCCTATGTTCAACTAAGTCCCCCGCTGGCGGCCATCTTGGATGATGGATCGGCTACAAAGTAACAACACTTGGTCAGAACCTCATAAGGAACATTCATGCCATGTTTGGTTTCATTCCATTCAGTGGTTCTCTAAAAGAAGACATTTGTATGTATTTCCCATAGGGTCCTATGTTAAACTAAGTCCCCCGCTGGCGGCCATCTTGGATGATGGACCGACTGCAAAGTAACAACACTTGGTCAGCATCTCATACGGAACATTCATGCCATGTTTGGTTCCATTCCATTCAGTGGTTCTCTAAAAGAAGACATTTTTATGTATTTCCCATAGGGTCCTATGTTAAACTAAGTCCCCCGCTGGCGGCCATCTTGGATGATGGATCGGCTACAAAGTAACAACACTTGGTCAGCACCTCATAAGGAACATTCATGCCATGTTTGGTTTCATTCCATTCAGTGGTTCTCTAAAAGAAGACATTTGTATGTATTTCCCGTAGGGTCCTATGTTAAACTAAGTTCCCCGATGGCAGCCATCTTAGATGATGGATCGGCTACAAAGTAACAACACATGGTCAACACCTCATAAGGAACATTCATGCCATGTTTGGTTTTATTCCATTCAGTGGTTCTCTAAAAGAAGTCATTTGTATGCATTTCCCATAGGGTCCTATGTTAAACTAAGTCCCCCGCTGGCGGCCATCTTGGATGATGGATCGGCTACAAAGTAACAACACTTGGTGAGCACCTCATAAGGAACATTCATGCCATGTTATGTTTTATTCCATTCAGTGGTTCTCTAAAAGAAGTCATTTGTATGCATTTCCCATAGGGTCCTATGTTAAACTTAGTCCCCCGCTGGCGGCCATCTTGGATGATGGATCAGCTACAAAGTAACAACACTTGGTCAGCACCTCATAAGGAACATTCATGCCATGTTTGGTTTCATTCCATTCAGTGGTTCTCTAGAAGAAGTTCAAAATGTAAAAAGTTAACGCCGACGACGGACGACGCCGGACGACGGACGCCAAGTGATGAGAAAAGCTCACTTGGCCCTTCGGGCCAGGTGAGCTAAAAAGGAAAAAAAAATAAATCCCCCCCCAAAATTTTTTGAACCCCCATTATGATTCATCACCCCCAAACTCAATCCCAGCCTTCCCTTTGTGGTATGGTACCTTGCAGTACAATTTCAGAGAGATCCATACACTTGAACACAAGTTATTGTCTGGAAACTAGAAAAATGCTTGTTTTTTGCCCCTTTTTTGGCCCCAAATTCCTAAACGTTTAGGGCAATTACCCCCAAACTCAAACCCAGCTTTCCCTTTGTGATATGGAACCTTGTAGTACAATTTCAGAAAGATCCATACACTTACACACAAGTTATTGTCATAAAACTAGAAAAATGCTTGTTTTTTGCCCCTTTTTTGGCCCCTAATTCCTAAAATTTGGAGGCAATTACCCCCAAAATCAATCCCAGCATTCCTTTTGTGATATGGAACCTTGTGGTACAATGTCAGAGAGATCCATACACTAACACACAAGTAATGTCTGGAAGTTACAAAAATGCTTATTTTTGGCCCCTTATTCCTTTACTGTTGGTACCATAACCCCGAAAATCAATCCCAACTTTCCTTTTGTTGTATTGAACCTTGTAGTGAAATTTCATAGAGATCCATTCACTTAAACTAAAGTTAGAGTGCGAAAACCAATGTGTCTTCGGACGACGACAATGTCATACCAATATACGACCACAAAAATTTTTTTGCGGTCGTATAAAAATGCTTATTTTTGGCCCCTTTTTCCTAAACGTTTTGGGCAATTACCCCCAAACTCAATTCCAGCTTTCCCTTTGTGATATGGAAGCTTGTGGTACAATTTCAGGAAGATCCATACACGTACACACAAGTTATTGTCATGAAACTAGAAAAATGCTTGTTTTTAGCCCCTTTTTTTGCCCCTAATTCCTAAAATTTTGAGGCAATTACCCCCAAAATCAATCCCAGCATTCCCTTTGTGATATGGAACCTTGTGGTACAATGTCAGAGAGATCCATACACTAACACACAAGTTATGTCAGGAAGTTACAATAAAATGCTCCGCAGGGCGCAGCTTGATACGACTGCAGAGGTCGAACCCTGAACAGTTGGGGGAAGTATGGACACAACATTCAAGCTTGATACAGCTTTGCATTTGGATTGTGATTAAATATTTGACACAGCATAGGTTTCTAACACAGAATGAATGTGGTCTAAGAACTTAAAAATTTTAAATTGGACATTCACCTATTATGGTCCAATATCCAAAATCTAAATACATGGTTAGATTCAGCATATCAAAGAATCCCAAGAATTCAATTTTGGATGAAATCAAACAAAGTTTAATTTTGGACCCTTTTGACCTCAATGTGGACAAAGTTGATAACAGGGCCCAAAAATCAAAAATCTAAATACATGGTTAGATTCAGCATATCAAAGAACCCCATATAATCAATTTTTGTTGAAATCAAACAAAGTTTAATTTTGGACCCCCATTTGGACCAACTTGAAAACTGGGCCCATAATCAAAAATCTAAATACATGTTTAGATTCAGCATATCAAACAACACTAAGAATTCAATTTTTGTTAAAATCAAACTAAGTTTAATTTTGGACCCTTTGGACCTTAATGTAGACCAATTTGAAAACGGAACCAAAAATTAAGAATCAAAATACACGGTTAGATTATGCATATCAAAGAACCCCAATAATTCAATTTTTGATGAAATCAAACAAAGTTTAATTTTGGACCCTTTTGACCTCAATGTGGACAAAGTTGATAACGGGCCCATAACGGGCCCAAAAATCAAAAATCTAAATACATGGTTAGATTCAGCATATCAAAGAACCCCATATATTCAATTTTTGTTGAAATCAAACAAAGTTTAATTTTGGACCCCGATTTGGACCAACTTGAAAACTGGGCCCATAATCAAAAATCTAAATACATGTTTAGATTCAGCATATCAAAGAACCCTAAGAATTCAATTTTTGTTAAAATCAAACTAAGTTTAATTTTGGACCCTTTGGACCTTAATGTAGACCAATTTGAAAACGGAACCAAAATTTAAGAATCTAAATACACGGTTAGATTCGGCATATCAAAGAACCCCAATAATTCAATTTTTGATGAAATCAAACAAAGTTTAATTTTGGACCCTTTGGACCTCAATGTGGACCAATTTAAAAACGGGGCCTAAAATCCAAAAACTAAATACATGGTTAGATTCAGCATATTAAAGAACCCCATGAAATCAAGAATAAAACCCCATTGAAATTGGTCAAGAAATAAGCAATTTATAGGAAGTATCTTCTTTTGCACAATCCTGTGCTATTAAATATTTCTTGCTATTGCGCAATACTGTACAATTGACAATTTCTTGCTATTACGCAATATTGTGCTATTGGATATTTCTTGCTATTGCGCAATACTGTGCAATTGAAGATTTCTTGCTATTGCGCAATACTGTGCAATTGAAGATTTCTTGCTATTGTGCAATACTGTGCAATTGAAAATTTCTTGCTATTGCACAATACTTATTATATAATAATTTACACATCCTGTTTGGTGTGTATCTCCTACATTGTACCATATCATTATTATTTGATTTTAAATATAAATCAGAAATAACCAAATTCCTAAACGTTTAGGGCAATTACCCCCAAACTCAAACCCAGCTTTCCCTTTGTGATATGGAACCTTGTAGTACAATTTCAGAAAGATCCATACACTTACACACAAGTTATTGTCATGAAACTAAAAAAATGCTTGTTTTTTGCCCCCTAATTCCTAAAATTTGGAGGCAATTACCCCCAAAATCAATCCCAGCATTCCTTTAGTGATATGGAACCTTGTGGTACAATGTCAGAGAGATCCATACACTAACACACAAGTTATGTCTGGAAGTTACAAAAATGCTTATTTTTGGCCCCTTTTTGGCCCCTAATTCCTTTACTGTTATTACCATAACCCCCAAAATCAATCCCAACCTTCCTTTTGTGGTATTGAACCTTGTGGTAAAATTTCATAAAGATCCATTCACTTAAACTAAAGTTAGAGTGCGAAAACCAATGTGTCTTCGGACGACGGCGGACGACGCCAGACGACGACGACGACGACGCCAACGTCATACCAATATACGACCACAAAAATTTTTTTGCGGTCGTATAAAAATTTAATCGCAATTTCCTGGTTTGAAAGGAGTTGCGATGACAAGAAACAGGACTGACGGACGGACAGACAGACGGACGGGTCAAAAACATTATACCCTCCGCAACTCGTTGCGTGGGGTATAAAAATTAGTTCTGAGAAGTAGGAAAATTACATGTTACAAGAATGCATGTGTTTTCAGGCTACATATTATACCCTAGTTTAAGCCTAATGCCTAATTATTTTAAGTGTCCAAAGCTGGAAAATAAGGTTCATCAGGTTTAATAGCTAGTTTAAAATGCTCAAAATTATATTTAACCATAGTAAAAGTTGTATATGACTCAATTAATTCAATTTACTTCACTTCAGTGGTTTAATTGATACCTGTTTTTGAATTGACTTTCACACAGATTATGAAAAGATATTTCTTTTAATGTTCAATCAGATAAATGTTAAATAATACTATCTACCTTATGGATTGATATAGTTTTATCATTTTATGATCATCTAAAACCTCACTACCTTGGCACTGTATGTTGATATTACGCTGTTTTAAAAACAAACAAAAACTTAAAGAATAAAACTGTAAAATTGGGAAATGTATGAATAGGGCAGAGAAGCATCAAAACCTATCACAATAACTTACTTTGTAAGATTACCCAGAGCTTCAGGTAAACCAGTCTCATAACTATTTCCTCCACATTCTAATCTTAATGTCCGCAGTTCTGTCAATTTACCAATTATTGAGTATGTCTGAAATAAAATGTATAATTGTCATTTATTCAATATTTTATTTTCATTCTGTTACAGATATGTTGCCAATGCCACTTGAATAAAAACAATCAAAGTAAATAAATATAAGAAGATGTGGTATGAGTGCCAATGAGACAACTCTCCATCTAAGTCACAATTTGTAAAAGTAAACCATTATACATGTAGGTCAAAAGACAACATTGGCATACTTTGAAATATCCCCACACAGCAGAATATTTACTTTAGTAAATATACATATTACAAGTTGAACTTGTAGCTCCAAGGATCTAGTATGACTTAACTTTGCAACAGAATAAAATATAATAAACATGTCTCAGCAAAATCTTAAAGCAATGTTTTTAATTCTAAATTAAATTTTGTGTCATATTTTCTATCTTCGGAAATATGACACAAAATTTGATAATGGTGTGGGTCAATAAAACATATTTCCATACAGGAAATAATCAATGTATGTAATTTTTTATAAATTGGATTGTCAGTCATTTGAATACCTATGATCTATTTTTGACATTTTTTAAACACTTAAGTGTCTACTTCAGTCGAATAAATTAGTTTATGTTAAAGATTTGAACTGATTTGGTCATTAAGATGCTCAAATTCAAGCTTAAATATGAAAAATCTATCAAATATGCCATAAAACATCATTTTTCAGATGGTTTTTGTCTAAAATGGAAGTGGCATTCGTGTTCACTCTCAACATTTATATATGTTATGTATTATCATTAAATACAACATATATTTAAATATTAAGACTGAACACAAGTGCGGTGACTCCCATTTTAGACATAAACCGTCTTAGAATTAGCACAATTGCTAAAATTGTGAAGATATCAGTATTTTTGCATGCAATAATGATGCTAGTACCTGATGCATGTCCATTGAATTGTCAAAAACAGCCTATATTTATGTAACAAAAGTATTCTACTTTGCCATTAACAGCTAAAAGTTTACATTTTCAACAACTTTGTAAAAAAGCTATATTTTGGGGCCAAAAAGGGGTCTTACCTGGCCTACTATTTTATGGTAAAATTTGGTTTTGATTAATCCAATTGTTTCAAAGAAGAATTTTTGAAAATGTTTAAGAATAAATAAACATCCTATGCCAAGCAACAGCAACAGGTCACAGTTACAATAGCACCCACATATCAAAAGAGTTAACTCAAGAAATATACAGAATACATACCTCTGGTGTCCATGATGTACAGTCTCCTAATTCTAGATGGACCAGATTTGGTAATAAAGTTAGGAATTCTAATTCTTTATCAGATTCAAAGTCCTTCAAAGTTGTTAATGACTAAAAAACAAAAGGATTCATTTTTACAGAAAAAAACAGGCTCATGAATATTATTTATTTTGTGAATATTTAAATTACCGGTATATATATGTTTATAAAATAAAATATCTAACACAGTCTCTATTGAAAACTTTGATAACCATGCAAAACAACTACTTTTAAATTCCTGGGAAAAAATGTGCAACTGAATACATATTAAGTATTCAATATTATTAATGACTGGAAATTTCTTCAATTTACAGTCACATTTTCATTCATTTGAAAGCAAGATAATTCACCAATGTGAAGCTTTTTAATTCTCAAAAGGTGTGAATTGAGAATGATAGTTTTTATGACCTTTATCACAATCTTAACATTTTCTTAATTCATTTCTGATCGATTTTAAATATCAGACCATTACAGACTAATGATTTACAAAGCTCATATGTTCTTTAAATTTTGGACCTTTTTTAATCAGCAAACAAAACAAACTTACCAGCTTTTGCAAATGTTTTAACGATTTCAGCTCACTTATTCCGCCACTAAATGAGAATGCTGGAAGAGCAAGACCAGAAATGCCTCTCAATTTCAGTACTTTTAAGTCAGCTAAAGATGAAAATTTTCCTATGTCCAACTTTGTTGGATTTGTCCTTAAATAAAAAGAAAACTTCATCACATTTTTTTCACTAGGGGAAATCTATAAGTTACATAATAATTGTACAAACCTACTTATAATAAAAAAACAAAACTAATAAAAATATTTAACCATCATTTCATAGGATAGAAATTGTCATAAAAACAAATCAACTTTTCAAATGGTAATATGTATGTTTGGTTGGCAGGCAGTTTTCAGGTATATAAAAATTCCAATTTTCAGTTTTTGTTTCACTTGTGACAAATAGGATGAGAGACATTGGTATTACTTTTCTTGCACAATGACAGAAACAACAGTAATTTTCTTTGTATCTTATCCTTTATTTTAGCTAGCTTTTCCAGTATTTGAAACCACTTATTTAAGGATTTAACAAATACATGTACAAATCTTTAATATGCTTGCTATGTGGTATGGGTTTTGCTCATTGTTGGCCATACAGTGACCTATAGTTGTTAACTTCTACATCATTTGGTCTTTTGGTGGAGAGTTGTCTCATTGGCAATCATACCATATCCTCTCATTCTTATATTGTATGTAGAATTCAGTACAACTGTGAAATCAAAGATCCATGAAAATCCCATATTTCCTTGGCACATATGCATGAAACTGGTAGAAAATAAATGAATCCACAGTATGCAAATTAACATAGACTACAATAATTCTATAACAAATATTACAATAACTAATACTCTACTACTGTGGATTCATTTATTTTCGTGGGTACCAATTTTCGTGGATTGAGGAAAACTTGCAATTTCGTTGAAAATTTAAATTCGTTGTTCCCCCGTAAGACACAGTATATAAGTTCTCACTGATTTTATTGCCTTCACAAGGCAAATCACAGAATCAATACACATTTGAATATCTTTATGGCAATTTATAATTCATGCAAATTAATGGGGAATAAAATGCTCAGGTAGGCGCAGCTTGATACGACCGCAGAGGTCAAACCCTGAACAGTTGGGGTAAGTATGGACACAACATTCAAGCTTGATACAGCAATTACCCCCAAACTCAAACCCAGCTTTCCCTTTGTGATATGGAACATTGTAGTACAATTTCATAAAGATCCATACACTAACACACAAGTTATTGTCCTGAAACTAGAAAAATGCTTGTTTTTGGCCCCTAATTCCTAAAATTTTAAGCAATTACCCCCAAAATCAATCCCAGCCATCCCTTTGTGGTATGGTACCTTGCAGAACAATTTCAGAGAGATCCATACACTTGAACACAAGTTATTGTCTTGAAACTAGAATAAATGTGGATAGTGTCCACATGTGGACACAGATGATGCCCCCGCTTGCATATCATATAGTTATAAAGGGACATAACTGAAGAACTGTAAAAGTGACCCTACACAAATTTAAACTTGATCTGAGTTTTGTGGTAATAAGCATTGTGTGTAAGTCTCATAACATTTGGTTGAGGCTAACTTAAGTAGAGAACAGAAACTAAAAATTCAGCAATTTTTCTATTTGTAAACACGCATAACTCTAGAACGGTTGTGTATAAGTTTTATAACATTTGGTTGAGACAAACTAAAGTTAGAGAACAGAAACGAAAAAATTCAACAATTTTTATGTTTTTAAAGGGACATAACTCAAGAATGGTAAAAGTGTCGCCACCAAATTTCTTAATTAATCTGTATTATGTAGTAGTAAGCATTGTGTACAAGTTTCATAACATTTGGTTGAGGCAAACTAAAGTTAGAAAAAGGAAACAAAAAATTTGTACTTGATCTTAGTTTTGTGGTAATGAATATTGAGTATAGGTTTCATAATGTTTGGTAGGGGCAAACTTAAGTTACAGAATGGAAACTAAAAATTTTGCAATCTTTCGATTTATAAAGGGGCATAACTCAATAATGGTTAAAGTGACACTACCCAAATTCAACTTGATCTGTGTTTTATCAGTGGAAGTCAAAATTAAACATTGCATTGTATAAAGCATTGATTGTAGTTGATTCAACTACAATCATTGGACAAAGGAATATAACTCCAATTTTAAAAATTACTTGATTTTTAGAAGAAAATAAAAATTTTGCAATTTTCCATTTATAAAGGGGCATTACTCTAGAACGGTTAAAGTGACGCCACCAAAATTCAAACTTGATCTGTGTTTTGTGGTAATAAGCATTGTGTATAAGTTTCAAAACATTTGGTTGAGGCAAACTAAAGTTAGAAAACGGAAACTAAACATTTTGCAATTTTTCGATTTATAAAGGGGCATAATTCTAGAACGGTTAAAGTGACGCCACCAATATTCAAACTTGATCTGGATTTTGTGGTAATTAACATTGTGTATAAGTTTCATAACATTTGGTTGAGGCAAGCTTAAGCTAGAGAACGGAAACTAAAGATTTTGCAATTTTTCCATTTATAAAGGGGCATTTCTCTAGAACGGTTAAAGAGACGCCACCAAAATTCAAACTTGATCTGTGTTTTGTGGTAATAAGCATTGTGTATAAGTTTCATAACATTTGGTTGAGGCAAACTCAAGTTAGAGAACGGAAACTAATTTTGGGACGAACATTCGTACGTACAGACGGACAAGGGTAAAACTTAATGCCCCCACCGCTACGGCGGGGGCATAAAAATGCTTATTTTTGGCCCCTTATTCCTCAACGTTTTGGGCAATTACCCCTGAACTCAATTCCAGCTTTCCCTTTGTGATATGGAACCTTGTGGTACAATGTCAGAGAGATTCATACACTAACACACAAGTTATTGTCTGGAAGTTACAAAAATGCTTATTTTTGGCCCCTAATTCCTTAACTGTTGGTACCATAACCCCTAAAATCAATCCCAACCTTCCTTTTGTGGTATTGAACCTCATGGTAAAATTTCATAGAGATCCATTCACTTAAACTAAAGTTATTGTGAGAAAACCAATGTGTCTTCGGACGACGACGACGACGCCAACGTCATATCAATATACGACCGCAAAAACGCAAAAATTTTTTGCGGTCGTATAAAAAAGCCAATTCATCAGAGTATTTCAATATCTGTCATTGTACATGAACCATAAGAAATCATATTTTTTGGTTTACATCAGTGAAGTGGTTATTTGCTTCCAAAATATTATAAATTTGATATATGCAACTGTTAAGACTTGAAATTTAGAACCTACTTTTACATTTCTGAAAGCAGTAGTAAATAAAGTTTACCATGAGTGTCAGTATCATTCAAACTATTACTTACTACTGGGTCCCATGAATTTTGTGTAAATTATGACAATTAACAATTTTTTTTTTTAAAGATCATACTTCAATACATACTTCATTTGTTCATTTGTGGAGTCACTAATCCATTCTGCTGACAGGGTTTCTAACTGTGTGGTCTTCTCACACAGAGCCTGTAACACAGATCCAGGCACGGCACCAAAGTGGAGTGTATGAACACAGGTAAATAGGTGTATGTTAGAAATTAACTGGTGCCATGTCTTATTTCTATCTTCATAATGGCTTACTCCCCGTAAATCCTAAAAAAAGATAATTGTCATTAATTAAGCTTAGTAACCACTGTATTATAGATAAATCCTACAAAATGATAATAATCATTAGAAGTTAAATATGCAATTACTTACTGTGCCAAATATAATTCCTACAAAATTACTCATCACTAGTTAAGCTTAACAGCCTACTGTATCCATAATATAAAAGGAGCTGCGCCATTAGTGCATGATACGCCCCGGCCTTTCTTTTTAAATAAAGTTCCTTAACTCCTCAATTTCATATCAGAAATTTATAAAAAAAAACTAAAGGGAGTTTATTTTAATAGATACAAACCAGTGATTAAAGTTTTATGAAAACTGCTCAAAGCATTTTTGAGTTATTGTCCGAAAACTGTAAATCCCCCCTTTTTTATGAATAAAATCCCACAACTCAGAAAAGTAAAATCTAAAATTTGATAAAAATCGAAAGGGAGCTTACATTAATAGATATTAACAATTCACCAAAGTTGAATGAAAAGTGGTTTAAGCGTTTTTGAGTTATTGTCCGACATGTTGACAATGGATGGACGGACAAAGGTATACCATAATACGTCCCATAAATGGGCATATAAAAATGATGATTGTTTCTATATAAGTACAAAATTCAGCTTAGGTACAATGTATAATGCTGAACAACAAAATAAATCCTACAAAATGATACTCGTCATTATTTATGCTTGACATCCTGCTGTATCCACAATAAGTAATGTAAATAATAATTATTAGAAAAGCATTGAAGTTTCTTTTCCATAAATTTCTGATATGAAATTGAGGAGTTAAGGAACTTTATTTTAAAAAGCAAGGGGCATATCATGCACTCATGGCGCAGCTCAGTTGCGTATGTTTTATCTTCCTTATTCTAACTCCAAATCAATCCTATCAGGTGGAATTGTAACCCCCATGCCTGTTTATATAAATCTGAATAAAGCTACATTCTTGTAGTCTCTTTTTGATAATTTGGTTAACCATCATGGAACTGTCCACCTAGCAGCCAGTAGTTCAGTACTAGGTAGTATGATTTAAATGATGCATTCTTGTTGTAAATTGTCAATTTTCATATCATGTAACTAGTAAAACTTGTATTGAACTATTTAAAAGGGGGGGTTGTAAACTGTTAGTTAACTGTCAAGGTAGTGACTTAAATCTGTTGGATATAAAGGAAAAATGACTCACCAGAATTTCTACTGCTCTCCTGGAAAGATATTTAGCTGCCTTTTCCCAATCTGCTATCTTCATATTTCTAAATCTTACTTCTCTCCACTGTAAAACATGAAACATAGATGTTAAAGTCTCTGTGTGGATTGATTGATTGGTGTTTAACGCCACTTTCAACACTATTGTGCTAATTCGTAGCGGTCAGATTTAATTGGTGAAGGAAGCTGGAGTGCCTGGAGAGAACCACCGACCTTCGGTAGGAAAACTGACAATCCTATTCAATTAAGATTGGAGTCGAGTGCACCTGCCCCGTGCAGCATTCATAATCACAACCTCAGTGTTGACTGGCTAGTGATATAGTAGTTCTACTACTTAGACCAGTCGCCCACCGAGGCCCCTCTGTGTGGATTGAGATTGCTTTTTGATGCACATTATGCATTGGGATATGGTGTAGAACTGTGACCTAATTGTAAGTGTTACTCTCAACCTATTGCAGTTCATTAAAAAATCATTCATTGCAAAAATAGAAATTGTTATCAACATTTTCATAACAGCACTGAAGTCTTATAGGATTGTAATTATACATGTTTTATTTTATCACCTTGCACTTTGACGACTTGACTGAATTCTACAGCAGTTGGTTAAAATATCAGACCAGCTGAACAGTTTGGTTTAATACAACAAATTGCAATGGGTCAACATTGTCAATGAACTGCAATTGATGTACAACAACACTTACAGTCAAGTCACAGTCATATATGACAAAAAAATCCCTGAAAGCATGGAAAAAGCCCTTATCAAGTGACAATGCTTTTATTGCAGTAATTTGAATATTATCAAGCGCTCACAACAGAAGTGGGATACAAGGAGACTATAAACTTATACTTTGATTTAAATTTGATAATATTTCAGCTTACTAACAATAGTTTTGGTATGCTTTTTCTTAATTTTTTAGTTTCAAACATTATCACACAGCTGTTTTAAACATACAATGCATACCATTGTCACATAAGTTTGCAAAAAGGGGGTATGGTATGTCCATGGACAAACAGGAAATAAATGGTAATTTCACGAGAAAAAAAAAAAACAAAAAATAACAGCTGCTCGATGCTTTTTATCAACTTTCAGTGAATAATGAGCTTCAGGCACAAAAACAATTGAAATAAAAGCTGCAAACACATTGCTCAAAAATAACAGTTTACCATCCATGGAATAAACAAAGTAGACCTGTCCAATGGAAAAACGAAGATATCGGTTTCATCCTTTGGCAGGCAATCTCTGGATGAATTTTTTTTTTTTTTTCAATCTATGAACAAGAAAATTCCTAATTTTTTGTGGATATCGGTTACTTTTAAATTGACCTCTCTCACGTTTGGATTGGTCCATTTCATCTATGAGATAAAAAAATCTTACAGAATAATGAAAAAAAAAAGAAAAACTTACTGTAAAGGGCTATTAACATTTGTTTCTTTTGGCCAAAATTATTTGCTTAAACAACTATTTTCTATTTTTAGGCACACAAACACTATGGATTATTTTTAGATTTTTATTCTTTTAGAAATGTTTTATCATGCTTAAATGATGCATTTAATTTCAGAAAAAAGTTGCTATGCAGATATTTTATTCATATTTCAAGGGATAATGTATTTGTTAAAGTCGGTTGGAATAAACTGGAGACTCTGTCGCTCACCTGCATCTTCAACAATGTCCGCTTTTTAGTAAAAAAATCATCATTAAAGGGGAATAACTCTATTAAGAGTTTGACAATTTCAGTCATGTTGGCATATTTGTAAATCTTATCCTGCTGATAATTTTTCCTGTTTAAAGTTTCTATCTGGTATAGTTTTCAAGTTGATAGGCAAAAATTATCATGAATGGGCAATAACTCCAATGATAAGTCGACTGATGATTTCAGCCATTATTGCTTATTTGTGGATCTTGTCTTGCTGATCAGTTGCGCTATTTAATGTTTCTATTTATCTATTAGTTTTCAAGATAATAGGCAATAAATTGCTTCGCCAAGCGCAGCTGAATACGACTGCAGTGGTCCAAACCTGAACAGTTGGGGCAAAAATGGACACAATATTTGCGCTTGATACAGGTCTGAATTTGGATTGTAATTAAATATTTGACACATAATAGGTTTCAGACACAGAATAACTGTAGTCATAGAACCTTAAATTGGTTATATGATTTGAATTTATATTCCATTTTTTTGCTTTTGTGCAGTATACTATGCTGTTGCAAATTGACCCCCCCTCCCCCCCCAAAAAAAAATGTATCCCCTTTTTTTTTTTTGCTTTTGTGCAATACATTGCAGTGCCAATTGACCCCCCTTCCACAAAAAATAAAAAGTTTTACCCCCCCCCCCCCCCCCCCCCCCCCCCCACCTCAAGATGTGGTCATAATCTCAATTCAAATTTCCAATGGAGTTTGCAATTGCAACCACAATTTACCAATTAAATACATCATCATGGCTAAAATTAATATTCCTTAATCAGCATTTTTAAAAAGTAACTTCTAAAAATAAATTGACAGCTAATCACCTCAAGACAATACAACATTTCTTTATACATAATTTAAAAGCAGTGTAAGGGAGATAATCCAAACATAACATTGTACTTTTTTTAAATTGTCCATTAACCAGGAAACCCTTGTTTTTCCCACTTCTTTGCCCCTAATTCTTAAACGGTTTGAGCCATAACCCCCAAAGCTAATCCTAACCATCTCTTTCATGCCTTTGTGGTATGGAAACTTGTGGTATAATTTCAGAGAGATCCATACACTGTTCCACAAGTTATTGTCTGGAAACTAGAAAAATGCTTATTTGGGCCCCTTTTTGGTCCTTAATTTCTAAACTGTTAGGACTATAACCCCCAAAATCAATCCCAACCTTCCTTTTGTGGTTATAAACCATGTGTTTAAATTACATATATTTCTATTTACATTTACTAAAGTTATTGTCCAGAAACCAAATGTTTTCGGACGACGCTGACAACGACGACGTGATACCAATATACGACAGCAAATTTTTTGCGGTCGTGTAAAAATGAGGAAAAATCGTCATTGAAGGGCAGTAACTTCAATAAGGATTTCAACAATTTCATTCAAGTTTACTTATTTGTAGATCTTGTCTTGCTGATCATTTTTGCTATTTAAACATGTTAAAGGGGCACTAGCTACGAGTTATATATAAAAAATCTAAAGTATGATTTTTTTTGTTCAATCATTAATGAAAGTGAAATAATGAAATAATAATTCGCTTTTAGCAGCCAGTATGGCTCAATTTTGTCAAATTCAGCTAAGAAACATTGATGATGGATTATTCACTTGCAAGTGAATAATTCGACCTCATTGAATCCGTATTCAAGTGAACTTCAATTTAACCCCTTAGCTAGAGATAAATAACGCATGCATTGTGCATGTTCGGTTATTAATAGGAAAAGAAAGTCAACATTGAAAATGAATCAAAGGTAAATCATTTGATTGACTGATTGGATCCACAAAAAAAAATTCTTATACAGGTAAAAATGATGATTAACATATATTTTTAATCTTTAATATGAAATTAAATAGACCTAGACAAATCCTATTGCACAAGTTCGCTTTCTATTCATATTTATATTTATGCTTATATCGCTTATATGACTATCAGAGGTCTTCAGAGGTAAACTCAACAGTTAATTAGATGGCGTCAAGACTAAAATACACACGAAACGAAGCTACATATTATCGAGCCCATGCCCTGTAAATTGCTTATTTTAGATTTTTTTTTAATTTGGCTAAATGTTTTTCATGGTTATAAATCAAATATGAGAATTTGAGTCAAATCGGTGAACATGAATTTGACAGCTAGCTTATATAGTGCCCCTATAAGGTTACTAACTATCTAATATAGTTTTCAAGATATAAGGCAATAAACTGCTTTGCCGAGCTGAGCTGGATACGACCGCAGAGGTCCAACCCTGAACAGTTGGGGACAAAAATGGACACAATATTCAAGCTTGATACAGGTCTGAATTTGGATTGTAATTAAATATTTGACACATTATAGGTTTCTGACACAGAATAAATAGGGTCAAAGAACTTGAAATTGGTTGTATGATTTGAATTTATATTCAACTGAAGATTTCTTGCTGTTGTGTAATACACTGTGCTATTGTCCGAAAACTGGAAAATCCCCCCTTTTTTATTGAATAAAACCCCATAACTCGGAAACATAAAATCTAAAATTTATAAATATCATAAGGGAGCTCACGTCAATAGATATATACAATTCACCAAAGTTTCATGCAAATTGGTTAAAGCGTTTTTGAGTTACTGTGCGACATGTTGATGACGGACGGACAGACGGCCAACAGTATACCATAATACGTCCCGTAAACGGGCGTATAAAAAATGGTAAAATTCATCATCTGAGGGCACATCTCCTACAAGAAGTTGTCTGACAGTTTTGACGTAAATGAACAATAAGTAGAGCTTAACATTCTGAACATTTTTGCCCTGTCAGATTTTCTTTTTTCATAGTGGTTTTAAAAATTATACACAAAACTACCCCTATGTTCTATTTTTGGCCATGTCAGCCATTTTGGTTGGCAGGCAGGGTCATCGAACACATTTTTAAACTAAATACCCAAATGATGATTGGGCCAAGATTGGTTAACTTTTGGCCGAGTAGTTTCAGAGAAGGTTTTTGTAAAAGTTATTGACGACAGACGACAAGTGGTGAGACAAGCTCACTTGGCCTTTAGGCCAGGTGAGCTAAAAAGCATGAAATGTCAAATTTTTTTCTCTTATAAAAATCAGAAATATAGGATTGGCGCATCCGAAAACTAACTAATTAAAAAACCTTTGCCTAATATACAGTTAACAGTACAATTCAACACAAATAAAACTTACCAAACATGGATGCATTACTAATTTTCTCCAAGTCCTACAAACTGAAGCAACCCTAAAAACAAAAATATATAAATTAACTTCAATATTTACAGAATAGTGCTAAAATTCAAATTCTCAACAGAAATTATTAAAAATGCAAAGAGTACATGGTATTATATTAAGAAGTTTGTCATGCTGAAATAAGTTTTTATCTCTCTTCGTAATATATCCAAAACTTGAGTTCACTTTTCAGATTCAAAAGTAGTAAGGATTATAAATGTGCATCTTTCAAAAAAAACACTGTATTGTATATTCTAATTAATGAAACTATATTTCCTAAATATCTTTCATTCACCAATTAAAAAATCTACAGCTTTTTGGGTAACTGGTATAAAAAAGCCAACTCTAAACGGCATTATGGATTATGTGATTCTTTGGCAATTAATTATCTTTGGTGTTAATTATATATTTGACCAAATTATATATTTCCACAAATTGCATTAAATCAGATTTGTTATTTCTCTCTCTCCCTAGCTTGCTGTGTACTTATAGATAATCAATGTTTTTTAAACGAGAGGGTGCTTCTTAGCTACAATCTCATCGTAGGGCGATAGCCTCAAGTTTGAAAGATCATTGATAATCTGTTTATCGCTGTTTTGCCTATGACATCGTTGATGTTTACATTGACAACGTCACATGCTTAGTTTCTGACTATAATTTTCTATCTCAAACTAGTAGCGTGATATGAAAAATTATCACAAAAAAAGATCAAAGGAAAAATACACAAAATAGCGATAATAAATAATATTATCAATTAAATGACAGTACAAAACAAATATATTATTACATTGTACTGCTAAATTATTTTTTCATTTAAAATTTTCATATATTTGAAGCAATAATATATAATATTGAATTGCAATCTATTCCTTACCTGAACAGATCTCTAACATTCAGATAATTGAATATTAATAACATGCAGTCAAAACCTCCATATAAACACTGGATAAAACAACTAGCTGGATTTATACCCCATTTAAATTGTCTAGTTTTAGGAGACTCATTTGGAGTTTCTGCCAAAGTACGACTAGAATTTGGGACTATCGTTGGAAGCTGCCCACTACCACATTCTGTATCTAAACTCAATGTTTTATCATTAGTAACAGTCACACTCAATTTGGCTGTTTCACCTGTATTGACTGGAAAAGTATTTTTAGGCAGAAATAGTTTTAATCCTTGCGCAGTGTGTAGAAAAGAAGACGGCGGCACTGTTACTTGTGTGTTGTTAATTTTCAGAGACACTGGTTGAGTCAAATTCAAACGTTTGATTACTGCAGGTGGTAGTGTAAGTAACTGTCCTTGTTTGTTAGTTTCATTTTGTTTGACACCATTCATATCAGGTACTGATGGTGTATGAGATTTTGTTCCCGGAGCAGCAATAAGACGTGGAGGCTGTAATGATACAGGTGATGATATGGACAGTTGTGGAGTTGGAGCTGGTTTACTAAAATCTTGAACTATCGGTGCAACAGGTTTCAATGAAGGATATGATACCATTGGTCTTACGGCAGCTCCTGGTATAGAGTTGTAAACCATCGGGGCAGGAATACTACCCATTGGAAGACTTGTACGGAAAATTGAATTTGATATCAATGATCCAGATGTTGTAACTGGTAAATACATCATCTGGGTTGTGGCAGAAGCGGTCAGAGGTGGCTTTTGTAATCCTTCTTTCAATACAGGATATTTTACGCCCGATTGATTTTGATTAATATCTGAGGCTTTCCTCTCCAGAAAATCTCTTACATTTCCAAGGACACTACTACTAACTCCACTTCCTGTTAATTCATTCTCATAAGGATCAAATGGTTCTTTTTTAATCTTCACATTTCCAACAGAACTTGTTGTAGAGGATGGGGATACTGTTGCAACTGATGTGGAAGAGTTCAAGTTTGCCGTTTTAGATAATGCTTTAGCTAGAAATTTATTCAATGGCATATAACCAGTAGTTGAAGTCAAATGTGGGGCTACAACAGGGGTTAACCTGGGCCTTGTAGTACTTGGTGTGTTGATGAACTGGCATATATTAGAAGTTACTTTAGGTGTTATATTGACACAGTTTAACAAGGCTGGAGACGGTACATTCATTAAACCATCAGGCCCAGGGGAACAAGCCTTGTTGATACATCTCTGAAAAAAAAAACATGAAAAAGTTTTGAATCTTGTCAAGTTGTAAAGTTACATCTATTATATATGAAAATAAGGAATATCAATTGCACTATACACAAAGGATTTCTATATTTGGCATAATTTCAAATCTTATTGTTTGAAGTATTCTTTGGGGGGAAATTTCTAAAGGAAACTGTTTTTTAAGAATATTCTATCTGAATTTTGCAGGTATATAATTAATGGTTCATAAACTTCAACAATCAACTTCATATTAATAAAAATAGTAAATGGGGGAGATATATCAATATGTTCTGTGTTCCATCATGTCTTCAGAGGGAGATGCCCAAATTTACAAACAATTAATGGGGAATGTGTCCATGTGACACAGATGATGCCCCCGCTTGCATATCATATAAAGTTATAAAGGGACATATCTGAAGAACGGTAAAAGTGACACTACCCAAATTTGTACTTGATCTGAGTTTTGTGGTAATAAGTATTGTGTATAAGTTTCATAACATTTGGTTGAGGCAAACTTAAGTTAGAGAACGGAAATGAAAAATTCAGCAATTTTTCCATTTGTAAAGGTGTATAACACTAGAACAGTAAAAGTGACACCACCAAAATTCATACTTGATCTGTGTTTTCTGGTTATAACCATTGTGTATAAGTTTCATAACATTTGGTTGAGGCAAACTAAAATTAGAGAACGGAAACCAACTTTTAGACATACGGACGGACAGTCAGACGTACAAGGGCTAAATCTTAAAGCCCCCCTCCGCTACGGCCGGGACATAAAAAATACACTGCAGGGCTCAAAACAATATCTGGAGTGTTGTGGTTTCAAATAGTAAAGTAATAGTCATATACAGTGGCAACTTGGAAAAATTTTCATAAGTGAAACGATTGACAAATGACCTATATAGTCCTGACTCACTGTAGGCACTTATCATGATGCTTAAAACATATCACATCTAAGAAAGCTATTCATGGTTCCACACAACTTAAACTCTATAACAAAGGTGCATTATACACATTCATTTATCTATACAATGCATTTCCCATATAGTTTGCTTTACATATAATACATTGTATACAAGTGAGAACATTTAAATCATGTTAATTGCATACATGTAAGTGGTGTACTGTATGTTTGCAAAATTTGGAAAATAAAACTTAACCTACTTCATGAGAGCTGGAAAATGAAAAATCAATCTGTGCTGTACATGTAGTTATATATTATCAAGGTTCCTCTTTACTTACCAAACAAATAAATGAGTCAACAGTTTGGCACATATTTACACATTTAGGATGGAACATACAAAGACAGACATTACACTGCAATGTTGGAGGCTGACCAGTCAGTCCTGGACAATTTAAATTACACAGTGATTCCAGTTTACTGTTCCTACAAACAAATACAGACATATTTGAATAGGATTAAAAATATCATTGTCCCAAGTAGTTGATAAATTCTAGATAGATAAATTGACACAGGTATTTCTGATTTCTGATTTCTTTTCTGATATTGAAAATTAAAGCCAGCTGCATAACATACCTGTTCATGTTCTTATAAATTGAAATAAAACAAAAAAACTGTTTTTGAACTTCAATTAGATGCAACTAATGAAAAATTTCAATTCAAAATATACTATTGGCTCTCTGTCATTAAAGGCACCTAAGGCTCAACACTAAAATACTGTTTTTTTTTCATATTTTGCAGAAATGTATATTCCATTGTGCAATTTTAAAAACTACCATTAAAAATAATCAAGATTGTGTTAATGCTACACAGGTCAAGCCTCCCTTTTTCATATAAGGTTTATATCGTGGAAAAACACAACTTTGTGAAAGAAAGAAAAATAAGATAACAAATATTTGCCATAGAACTTATAAAATAAATTTTAGTCATAGTTCTTTTCCTGCTACAGGGCAAAATGCTTATTATATAAAAATACAAGACGATAAATTACAAAAATAAATCATTTGAATGACCTTCCACTCCCACCATATAAATGAATTTTCCAAATAGCATATTCAACAAAAGTTTGGTTAATTTTCTGGCCAAGTTTATTAGAAAGTTAACTCAAGCATTACAATTCAAATTGCCACTTGTAGATGACATTGACCTAATTTCAGACTGGTAGACATCACAATTTTAAACACCTTTTACAACTTAAATAACACTTACAACTTACCTCTCAGGACTTATTGCTGCTTTAAATGATTTTTGTGTGGTACTCTTCCTAGCTGTACCCTTTGATTTAAAAAACTTCTTTTTTGGTGGTGACATAGAAGGAGAAGTTCTAGTTTCTTCTAATGTCGGAGGGCATTCTGGGAAGGTTGCTTCCTTGGCAGCCTCTTTATCTTGTTCGTCTGGATCAACAGGTTCAGTCTTTATCTGCAGCTGCATTTCTGACAGAAACGGAACTTTTTCATCTGTCTTGTCCTCCTTTTCTTTTGGAGGAACCACATCTTTTGTCTGTTTTATGATGATTGTAGTAGATGTTGCTGGTCTTCCAGGTCCAACAGAATGTTTTCTCTTTCTGCCTCTTGGAGATTTAGTAATTACTGATTGAGTTTCCACATCACAGGAGGTCCCATTGAATGGAATAGCTGGCTCATCAGAATCCTTCTCTATTACAATTTCTGGCTTTTTCTTTCCTATTCTTAGTGGTTTGCCAGCATTTCTTACACTTTCAAAAGGTGGACTACTGATAGGAGTCTTTATAAAGGAAAAATTGTTCTCTGTAAGGTCTGAAATCTTGTGTTGTCTCACTAAAAAATACATAAACATAATTATATGTATTGTGGATTCATTATTATTCCTGTGATACCAATGTTCATCAATTTGGTGGGTATACTATAGATAAACCACACATTCAAAAAGTTAAATGGAGAACAAATTGTCTATAGGCTTGTATGCACACTTTGGCAAAACCAAGAAAATACAATATCCAAGAAAATACAATTGTTTCTCAATCCAAGAAAATTGGTATCTACAAAAATTAGTGAATCCACAGTATTGGGAAACATTTTTACTATATGTTTGACAGCCAATAATCTTGTTAAGATACATGTAGTTACACTTATAAATTCAATCATATTCCATTGAAAAATTAAATAGGCATCTGACAGATCAAAAAGGTGTTTACATATTACAAGTCATAACTGACAAGCTGCAGACCTAATTGAAGTCATTCAATTGATTAATACTGCAGAAATGATTGAAAAAAATTTAATTATTAAGTTCATTCAACATATTGAAACATTCAAAGTACACACAAATGGGAAGTAGGTCTCTGACATATAAAAGTGCTCACACCTTACAACTCATCACTGTCAAGCTGCTGACCAAATATAAAAGTCATTCTGTTCAGTAGTGCCTGATAAAAGTGTGACAAAAATATTTGTTTGATGGACAAGGTGGTTGCAATATATAAAACAGAAACATATATACATCATCATAGCATTTCATTTTATCCTGCAGAGTTCAGGACTTTTTTCTATGACACAATGCATATATATATAGTAAAACATGCTTTAAAATCTTCAGTACTCTCTTTTATACTTACAGTGAGCTGAAACTTCTACCATGGATCTCTGCAAATAAACAAAGTATATACTCTATATTCTCCTAATTCCATCAATTGAGAGTTAACATGCAATATTAAACAAACACATTAAAAAAAAAGATAATCAAACATTTTTCTTTTCAAGGGAGATTTTTTTTTTTTTAACCAATAACCAAAATTATGACTGCACCATGAAAATTATAACATCATGAAAAAGGATCAACAATGGATACCAAAGTTATGTGAGACTACTTAAAAATTGTATAATTCAACCTTATTTAACCAAATTTAGTAATTTTTCCATTTAAAAAAAGAACATAACTAGATAACGGTGAAACTTGATCTGTGTTTGGTGGTATACGTAATAAGTTTCATAACATTTGGTTGAGGCAAACTAATGTTAGAGAATAGAAAAACTAAAATTTTGCGATGTACAGACTGACAAGGGTAAAACTGAATGCCCCCTTCTGGGTCGGCAGGGGCATTTAAAGGAGTCACAGAGGTGCCATTAATTTTAAGCACTTAAATGCTGTGCTTTTGATAGTCATACTGTACAGGTGATATATTTTCAGCTTCAATATTTGACTTACCAATTTTTTACCAATAGGAGGTTTATAATATACATCAGCAGGCCTTCTCTTGTTATCATCAAATGTATTTCTTACTACTATCTCTCTTGTCCACCCTATGAAAATAAAACAGTTAGTTTACAGGGAATACTAATTCTTATATTTGAAGAAAAGTATTAATAAAATGAAAAGGAAAAAATAATTATACTGCAGCTAGAAGACTTCCTGTTGTCTTTATTTCATAAGTATACATGTAGTAAGTGATATTTTGTACAATATCAATTGCTTTTTTCCCCATCAGGGGCTGATCATTTGCGATGGAAAATAAGTTTTATTCTTAAGTTCAAGTTTAATGACTATTTTTTAGCCTTTGTTCACTGCAGTTTAAAAAAAATTCCTAAGGGTTCCGTGGAACCCAGTGTCTCGCCTACTTTTGCTGTTAATCGCAGGCTCAACAAATATATCTTTTGATTGTAAGTAGCTTCTGTCCAAGTTTGGTAAAAATCCAGGATAGTTTATGAATCTAATTAATGTTTTAAAAACTTAAAACTGCAGACTGTATGTAATGTTAACTGGAAGAAAAACTAAGTCCATTTATAAGTAAAATAAGGAAATTAACTGTTATCACAGAGATATGTCTTGCCTTTTTTGCAATTTTGATAATGCAAATGTTGAAATTAAAATAGCAATACTTTAACATGTAAGTTACGCAAATATTCAAAGTCGATGAACCATGACTGAAGGTACATGGCTAAACAATCTCCATGGAATGAGATGTGCCAATGCTTATACAACTGCATACCAAATACCATTGACTTATTATAAGTCGTTCCCTTTAAACAAACCTAAACACAAACATTAACTTGTAAACTATGTAAAATTTTCAAAGTCAATAAACCATGATCAGGGGTGGGGCTATATAATCTCCATGGAAACGATACTTGCAAATGCCAATACATTTGCATACCAAATATCATTGGCTTAACATTAGCAGTTCGTCTTAAACTGATCTAATCACAAACTAATACATGTAAACTAAGCAAAAGTTTCAAAGTCAATAGACCATGACTGAGGGGGTGGGGCCAAATATTCTCCATGGAAATGAGATGTGCTAATGCTTATACAACTGAACACCAATTAACATTGGCCTACCACTAATGGTTCCCCTTGAACTGACCTAATCACAAACTAATACATGTTAACTTAGCAAAATTTTCAAAGTCTATAGACCATGACTAAGGGGGCTGAGCCAAATAATCTCAATGGAAATGAGATATGCCAATGCTTATACAACTGCATACCAAATATCATTGACCTACCACTAGTGGTTCCCCATAAATTGACCTAATTACAAACTAATACATGTAAACTATGAAAAGTTTTAAAGTCAATAGACCTTGACTGAGGGGGCGGGGCCAAATAATCTCCATGGTAATGAGATGTGCCAATGCTAATACAACTGCATACCAAATATCATTGACCTATCACTAGTGGTTCACAATGAACTAGACCTAATCACAAATATACATTGTTGACGCCGCCGCCGCTGGAAACAGCATACCTATGTCTCACTTTTTGACTCCGTCAAGGCGAGACAAAATGGAACAAAATTTCCTTCTAGATACTAGCTTTTAATCATAAACAAGCTTCTGTCCAAGTTTGGTACAAATCCAAGATAGTTTAAGAAAGTTGTTAAAATTTTAAAAACTTTTAACCACAGAGTGAATGTAATGTTAACTGGCAGAAAAACTAAGTCCATTTATAAGTAAAATACGGAAAAAATTGAATTTTTTTTATAAAATTTACTTCTGGATACTATCTTATGATTATAAACAAGCTTCTTTCCAAGTTTGGTAGAAATCCAGGATAGTTTAAGAAAGTTATTAAAATTTAAAAAACTTTAAACCACAGTGAATGTAATGTTTCCTGGCAGAAAAACTAAGTCCATTTATAAGTAAAATACGGAAAAAATTGATCTTTTTTTTTACAAAATTTACTTTTGGATATTATCTTATGATCATAAACAAGCTTCTGTCCAAGTTTGGTAGAAATCCAGGATAGTTTAAGAAAGTTATTAAAATTTCAAAACTTTAACCACAGAGTGAATATTTGTTGACGCCGACGACGACAAAACGTAGGATCGCTTTGCCTTGCTTTTTCGACAAAAGTCGAAGGCTCGACAAAAATGTAAGAACAATGTCAGAGAAAATATAAACTTTTTTGCATTTGGTTCAAAATTTTTGAAGGGCTCAGTAAACTTTACCCCTCCCAAATTTCTAAGCCTTACAGTTATTGACCTAAAATTGTAAATACAGTTTATATGATGGTATTGGTTTAACAAGAAACCCAAGCTATTGAGAAGTGTTCCTTATAAGCATAGTAAATACAGCAATCTTCATAGATGTTTAGATTTTTCATCCTTTAAAAAAAAACTTCACCATATCAATGTAAATTCAGACTGTATCATCTTTATAAAACAAGAGGCTCTCAAGAGCCTGAATCGCTCACCTGTATTTCAGAGGAGAAGATTTTTAAATGTTAGCAAACTTGATGAACAAATTGTGTAAAATTGTCTTTAAAGGGCAATTACTCCTTAAGGGGTCAATTGACAATTTTGGTCATATTAACTTTTTTGTAGATCTTACTTTGCTGAACATTATTGCTGCTTACAGTTTATATATATCTATAATAATATTCAAACTAATAACAAAAAACTGCAAAATTTTGTTAAAACTACCAATTCGGTGGCAGCAACCCAACAATGGGTTGTTCGATTCGTCTGATAATTTCAGGGCCGATAGATCTTGACCAATTAAACAATTTTACCCCATGTCACATTTGCTCTAAAAGCTTTAGTTTTTGAGATATAAGCCAATAACTGCATTTGACCCTTATGTTCTATTTTTAGCCATGGCGGCCAAGTTTGTCGATGGATACAAACTTCGGATACAATTTATAAACAAGATACCCTAAGGAACATTTAGTTAAAGTTTGAAGGTAATTGGCCCAGTAGTTTCAGAGGAGAAGATTTTTAAATGTTAGCAAGGCCACACTTAACAGAATTTTGGTTTGCCCAAACCCTACCCAAACGTTGAGACAGTGGGTAGGTAGGTAGGCATTTTCTTTTCTTTTTTAGGCAAAGAGAAATTGAAGTGTCAGATATTTTTTAATCTGATAAAAATAAAAAACTTTTTCACATCAGGACAATAAAAGATTTTGAGTAGGCAGCTATTTTCTGGGTAGGTAGGGTTAGGGCAAACAAACATATTCTTTTTTATGGCCCAAACTTGATGAACAAATTGTGTAAAATTGTCTTTAAAGGGCAATAACTCCTTAAGGGGTCAATTGACAATTATGGTCATATTAACTTTTTTGTAGATCTTACTTTGCTGAACATAATTGCTGCTTACAGTTTATATATATCTATAATTATATTCAAAATAATAACAAAAAACTGCAAAATTTTGTTAAAACTACCAATTCGGTGGCAGCAACCCAACAATGGGTTGTTCGATTCGTCTGAAAATTTCAGAGCTGATAGATCTTGACCAATTGAACAATTTTACCCCATTTCAGATTTGCTCTAAAAGCTTTAGTTTTTGAGATATAAGCCAATAAAATGCTTCGCTGGGCGCAGCTTGATACGACCGCAGAGGTCGAACCCTGAACAGTTGGGGCAAGTATGGACACAACATTCAAGCTTGATACAGCTCTGAATTTGGATTGTGATTAAATATTTGACACAGCATAGGTTTCTGACACAGAAAGAATGTGGTCTAAGAACTTCAATTTTTTTAATTTACCTATTATGGTCCAATGTCCAAAATCAAAATACATGGCTAGATTCAGCATATCAAAGAACCCCATATATTCAATTTTTGTTGAAATCAAACAAAGTTTAATTTTGGACCCCAACTTGGACAAACTTGAAAACTGGTCCCATAATCAAAAATCTAAACACGTTTAGATTCAGCATATCAAAGTACCCCAAGAATTCAATTTTTGTTAAAATCAAACTAAGTTTAATTTTGGACCCTTTGGACCTTAATGTAGACCAATTTAAAAAACGGGACCCAAAATTAAAAATCTAAAAACACGGTTAGATTTGGCATATCAAAGAACCCCAATAATTCAATTTTTGATGAAATCAAACAAAGTTTAATTTTGGACCCTTTTGACCTCAATATGAACCAAATTTGATAGCGACCCACAAAATAAAAAATCTAAATACATGGTAAGATTCAGCATATCAAAGAACCCCATATATTCAATTTTTGTTGAAATCAAACAAAGTTTAATTTTGGACCCCAACTTGGACCAACTTGAAAACTGGGCCAAAAATCTAAAATCTAAACACATGTTTAGATTCAGCATATCAAAGTACCCAAAGAATTCAATTTTTGTTAAAATCAAACTAAGTTTAATTTTGAACCCTTTGGACCTTAATGTAGACCAATTTAAAAACGGGACCCAAAATTAAAAATCTAAATACACGGTTAGATTTGGCATATCAAAGAACCCCAATAATTCAATTTTTGATGAAATCAAACAAAGTTTAATTTTGGACCCTTTTGACCTCAATATGAACCAATTTGATAGCGGGTCCACAAATAAAAAATCTAAATACATGGTTAGATTCAGCATATCAAAGAACCCCAAGAATTCAATTTTTGATGAAATCAAACAAAGTTTAATTTTGGACCCTTTTGACCTCAATGTGGACAAAGTTGATAACAGGGCCCAAAAATCAAAAATCTAAATACATGGTTAGATTCAACATATCAAAGAACCCCATATATTCAATTTTTGTTGAAATCAAACAAAGTTTAATTTTGGACCCCGATTTGGACCAGCTTGAAAACTAGGCCCATAATCAAAAATCTAAATACATGTTTAGATTCAGCATATCAAAGAACCCTAAAAATTCAATTTTTGTTAAAATCAAACAAAGTTAAATTTTGGACCCTTTGGACCTCAATGTGGACCAATTTAAAAACGGGGCCCAAAATCCAAAAACTTAATACACGGTTAGATTCAGCATATTAAAGAACCCCAAGAATTCAAGAATAAAACCCCTTTGAAATTGATCAAGAAATAAGCAATTTATACGAAGTATCTTCTTTTGCACAATACTGTGCAATTGAATATTTCTTGCTATTGTGCAATACTGTACAATTGACAATTTCTTGCTATTGCGCAATATTGTGCTATTGGATATTTCTTGCTATTGCGCAATACTGTGCAATTGAAGATTTCTTGCTATTGCGCAATACTGTGCAATTGAAGATTTCTTGCAATTGTGCAATACTGTGCAATTGAAAATTTCTTCCTATTGCACAATACTTATTATATAATAATTTACACATCCTGTTTGGTGTGTATCTCCTACCATATCATTATTATTTGCTTTTAATATTAATCAGAAATAACCAACTTAAAATGGAAAATTTTAAAAGAAAAAAAAAGGAAAAAAAGAAAAAAAAAGAAAAAAAAAGAAAAAAAAAAAAAATCCCCCCCCCAAATTTTTTGAACCCCCTTATGATTCATCTCCCCCAAACTCAATCCCAGCCTTCCCTTTGTGGTATGGTACCTTGCAGTACAATTTCAGAGAGATCCATACACTTGAACACAAGTTATTGTCTGGAAACTAGAAAAATGCTTATTTTTGGCCCCTTTTTGGCCCCCAATTCCTAAACGTTTCGGGCAATTACCCCCAAACTCAATTCCAGCTTTCCCTTTGTGATATGGAACCTTGTAGTACAATTTCAGAAATATCCAAACACTTACACACAAGTTATTGTCATGAAACTAGAGAAATGCTTGTTTTTTGCCCCTTTTTTGGCCCCTAATTCCTAAAATTTTGAGGCAATTACCCCCAAAATCAATTACAGCCTTCCCTTTGTGATATGGAACCTTGTGGTACAATGTCAGAGAGATCCATACACTTACACACAAGTTATTGTCTGGAAGTTACAAAAATGCTTATTTTTGGCCCCTTTTTGGCCCCTAATTCCTTAACTGTTGGTACCATAACCCCCAAAATCAATCCCAACCTTCCTTTCCTGGTATTGAACCTTATGGTAAAATTTCATGGAGATCCATTCACTTAAACTAAAGTTAGAGTGCGAAAACCAATGTGTCTTCGGACGACGACGACGACGCCAACGTCATACCAATATACGACCAAAAAATTTTCAATTTTTGCGGTCGTATAAAAACTGCATTTGACCCCTATGTTCTATTTTTAGCCATGGCGGCCATGTTTGTCGATGGATCAAAACTTTGGATACAATTTATAAACTAGATACCCTAAGGAACATTTAGTTAAAGTTTGAAGGTATTTGGCCCAGTAGTTTCAGAGGAGAAGATTTTTTAAATAGTTTACGATGACAGACGACGACGACAGACGACGGACGCCAAGTGATGGCATAAGCTCACATGGGGCCCTTTGGGCCCCGGTGAGCTAAAAAACTGGTGTCTCAATCCTATTGCATATTTAAGCAAATAAAACATGTTTAAACTAAACTAGTTGTCTCATTGGCAATCATACCACATATCCTAATTTTCATATGGAGCTTGTCATATAGTTTGGGCACTTGTGCAAGTGTTTACCAGTGGAGAAATTGATGTTTACCTACAACAATTATACCCTTATTTTAGTATACAAACCATATTCTCCTGGGAGTTCTAATGATTTAATATCAAGGTTGGGATATTTTGGCTTCTTCATAGGTGTACCTACAAAAAAAACCCAAAACATGTATTTAATAGATCAATGAAGTAGATCAATGAAGTATATAGAACACTACAAATTCATATAGACACTGAGGTACAATATGTAACTATGTACATGTATTACAATTATGCATTGTGAACTCATATTAGAAAATGTATGACGAATATTTAAGACATCTGGTTAAAAAACAAACAATATTTTTTGTAAAAGGCATGATTATAAGGAACAGAAGAGAATGCAGAATTGTGTGTACTCTCTGTTTTTTTTGGAATTTTCATCAGTTTAATAATATGGTAAATTTCATTCAAATGATTTTGTTCCCTATGGTAAACATTAATCCTAATATTTATATATATGTAAAGGTTACAGTAAGCAATTAACCAACAGTTGGGCTGCTACTCTATAGGGACTTCATTTAAATTATCAAACATGGTACCCGTAGTCATGCAGTCTATGATAATTAAGTGATACTTTCAATCGCTAGCAAAATCCCTGTTTCACAGAGAATCATTCAACACTAGCTATAGCTACATGTACACCTATTTTAACTGAATCATTTTGTGTATACTGTAGGTTTCAAGTTCAATACATACTGCACAAATTTAAATCTACTTTTTTAATATTATGAAAGAAACATTCACATAGTGTAAAACAGCAAAATTTCATATACATTGTACCCTAAAACATACCTATACATGTATTTGGTGTGCCAGTACTATTTTTGCTTGTTGTAGTAGTAATAGTCGCATCAGATAATTGTTTAGCTTGCTTTGATCTTGATTCTCTCACAAATCTCTGTGCTCTCATGTCTTCCTTAGGGTTATAATCAGGATCAGCATCAAACTCACTGGTGTAAATATTGTCAGTTTTAGGTGTTCTACTTCTTTTCCCTCTTCCAAAAACATCTTCTGGCTTTAAGATATCTTTGTCATTGATAATGATTCCCATTTCAGCATCTTCTAATTCATGAGGAGTTTTTGACAGGAACTGACTAAATTCTGTTTCACCAGTTGATGAATCTAACTCAGCAGTTGAAGTATCTTTTTTCTCATCTTCATCTTTAGTCTTATTTTGAGAATCTTCTGTGACACAACTTTCCTTAATCAACTTATCATTATTTTTACCCGCCTGACTTTCATCTATTGTAAGGTTATTTTCTTCTTCTTCTTCTTCTTCTTCTTCATCACCACATTGTTCATTGCTTTTTATTTTTCCATCTGCTTCAACTGTTTCCTCCTCGATGTCTTCTATTTTATCCTTCTCCTCATTGTTTTTCATTTTATCCTCTTCCCCATCAATATCTCCGCCATTCACATTTTCAGCATTCTTTACATTGTAGTCATCATCGGTATTTTTCCTTTCATTTACCAGTATATCGTTATTTATCTGCTCATTTCCACTATCCAATTTGCTATCTTCCGGTAAATTTTCATCTACATCAGCATCAGTTTCCATACCTTCATCTTCACCATCTTTCTCAGCTACACTTTTTGTAGATAATGATTCAGATGGGTCTATACCAGACACACTCTCCATTTCAGAAGGTGTTGTTATTGATTCAGATTGATCTGCTGGAATGCTTTCTACTACAGATAGTGTTGTAATTGTTTCAGATTGATCAGTAGAAATACTTTCCATTTCAGATGGGGTTGTAATGGATTCAGATTTATCTGCAGAAATGCTTTCTATTCCAGATTGAATTGTTATGGATTCAGATTGATCTGCTGAGATGTTTTCTGCTCCAGATGGTGTGGAAATGGACTCAGATTTACCATCTGATTCACTATCTATTGTGGTCTGCACATTATCACATCCATCTACTGTATCTCCATTCATTATTGCAACAGATTCAGCATTCATGTTGGAATCATTTTGAGATTCTTTAATTGTCTTGAAGTCCTGATCTGACACTGAAGTTTTTGTTTCTTCTTCCATTTTTTCAGATCATTTAGTCATTTTCTAATCCTAAAGATCCGAAAAGAAAATGGAACAAATAATAAAAAATATATTTAAAGAAAGGTTCATCTCGCTGTAGCTTTTACACAGCATGAAGATAATCTCCAGCTGAAGAATTATTGTAGTAGGTTTTCTCATCAACCATTCTTCAAGTATAAAATGCATTATTTTAGAAGTTTTTAATAAGGCAGTGGTTAAACTCTGGGTTTTATTTTAGCAATTTGTAGCAATGTCTCTGTGTACTGTAGTTCAGAACAATCATGACAATAGACAAATAAAATTACTGTATATAGAATGCTTTAATGCGCATTAATTTTGTAACAAATTTTGCTTAGATACATGTAAGTAATATAAGCAGCTACAAAAATGGACATTTTGTGAATTTTTTTTATCCTGTACATATTGATATTTTCACAAGTTGTTATTTCCTCTATCTCAATGAATTAACTGTTCGTGCATCAGACAATAAACATTCACTTTACATTCAAATTGTTTATTTACCCGAGGGTATCATCAGCTAAATAGTCTGTTCTTAGGTACTGACATGATTCATTACAAACCTTTCTCAAATTGTTCATTTTTAAATTAAGAAATAATAAAAGAAGAATGTGTCAGAGAACACGAAAGCAGCATAACTCTAGAACAGTAGCTATAGGTGACGCACTGCCCAAATTTGAACTCTGTCTGCGAGTTTAGATTCTCAGCATTGTGCATGTTGTGTTTGAGTTTCATAAAATTTGGTTGAGGAAAACTTTAGTTAGAGTGCGGAAATGAAAATGGGACAGACAGAAGGACATATACATTTGTAGTCAAGGGTAAAACTTAATGCCAACTTAGGCTTAACAACAGGGGCATAAATAAGAAACTAAGGTCTTAACTTCCTGAGGCAAAGTTGACCTTACAGTACAAATTTCGCGAAAGGCTTCCCAAACTCCGAACACCAAGTTTTTTCTTGGTGTGACACCAGGAAACTCCGACATCCCTCCCTAAATTCTCGGAGAAATTTGGGAGTATTCCCTCCGACTTCCGCGTAAATTCGCTACCTTTTGTTTATTGTATTAGCGACATCTCTCCCAGTCCGGTGTGACGCGGTGTCACACCAGGTAATAAATTGCCCTAATCCTTCTGATCTATACCGGCACGCGACAGTCAAGGTATGTGAGATTACTTATGTAATTAAACAATTGTATTTCCTGTCTATTGATAATCAGGTTATATTTCTGATTGCTTGAAACAAATAAAAGATTTAAAAGCAAAACGTTGTTGTTAATTCTTTCAATTACAATGTACATTTAAAAATAGTTTTATTAAAAAAAAAACTATATTTGATTTTTACCTCGTTTTTTTTTTCTGGTCAGTAAATTAATATTTTATTTACAAAAGAGATATACTTGTGTAAAAATAAACGGAGGCTTACGCTGAATAAATGTGGGCAGTTTAAAGGAAAATTACATGTCTCAAAGTTTTGTATAAAAGTAAAAAAGAAAATATTATTCACTATTCGTTATGCTAATAAGTCCACGCCATTTTCATTTTACGATTACATAATTGCTTGAAACAAATTAAAGATTTAAAAGCAGAATGTTGTTGTTAATTCTTTCAATTGCATTAAAGTTTTATAACAAAAACTATACTTGATTTTGACCTTGTTTAAGTTCATCGGTAAATTATTTTATTAAATGAGACATACTTGCGTAAAAATAAACGGAAACTAACGCTGAATATAAAAGTGAGCAGTTTAAAGAAAATTACGTGTCTCAAAATTTGTATATGCAAGTAAAAAAGAGAATACTATTCACCATTCGTTATACTTAATAAGTCTACGGAATTTTCTCTTTACGATTTGTTGGCATTACTTATACTTAGGATTAATAATTACATTTCGGCTACAACACTTCTATAGCTGCATCAACTCGTCGTTGCATAATATTCATTTACGCACAATGAATGTAAACTTGTGTATTGTATAAAGGACAGTGATTTTTAAATTTTTTAAAAGAAATTAATTGCCGTGGGAAGACGATACACATCTCAGTGATCAACAGTCCGTGGTTGAACTTTGAACTTGACTTCGCTCACAATATTGAATGCTAAAAATAGTGACATCAATTTTGTCCACGAGATTTTTATTTGGCGGGAAATATTATCACGTAACAGTAAACTCAGGTGACCTTTCTGGATGACCGTGGGAAAATTCATTCGGGTTTTAAATTTGCTTTGGAATGATTGACATTTGTATGCCTTAAGATTGAGGCTCTAGAAGGTCCTTTTACAATTGATTAACCGGAATCTAAAATATAATCCTTTTCTGAATAAACGAACACCAGCCTTTTAATTATACGTTTCTAAGTCAACACAGGACATACATGTAGATGGTTAGGCTATTGTTAAGGTCCGTTTTGGTCATATAGCTCTTCAACTGTTTTGGTTCCTATACAATTTACATACTTGACTTTCAAATATTTGGTTTAAAGCATTCCTGATGAAGATAATTCAAGAAAAGCACTTTGGATGCATGAAATTTATAAAGTGTTGTTTTCATAATTTTTGTATGAATGCACAGGGGATAAATTTTTTAACTTTGCTAGGGATGGCAACAAGTACATAGGTTTTTTTCTCCGTCAGATCTAAATTTTAATGTTATCAAGCAAACCAATAAAGCCGACACTTTTCAAAAACTCAGAATCCACATACAAAAATATGGTTGTGGAAAATCTTTAACAAACAATATTTTTGACACATCAGACACAAGTATGACATATTACTGGTTTGGAAATGATTTCAAGAATTAGACTGATTTTAAAATCCTCTGGCATAAGAACATGTACTTGCAGTGCCTAATGAAAAAAATACTATACCAACGACTGTCAAACAAAATTGGTGTTTTAATTGAGACACGAGGGGAATCATCATAGTTTAAAAAGCCCTCTCATATGCCCCAAATCTGTTACCGATTCAATGAAAAAGAGATCAAGTTTCCAAACAATTGGTATCGTAATCAACTTCTGAATGTTTTTTTTGTTTTGAAAAACGCAAGTGTGTATTTCACTAGTGGCACCGTACAAATTTATACCATTGCTTTGAAAGAATGTATAACAGGTGCTTCAACAAAAGTTTTTTTTTTATAACTGTGAATATCTTTAAGAGCGACACCCACAGGGTATCAACAGAACAAATTTTTTAGCTTATGCAGTTACGCGAATAGATTGTTCATCGACAAAATTGCTTGCGCATTTTATTTTAAAGTACGATATTTCATTAGGCTTAAAAGCAAAAACTTACAAATCTGTAATTCACATGAAGAAAATGGCTTCCATGTTCTAAACTAAAAATAGATGAAAACATGAGCTGCCACCTAGTGGTAAAATTTGTCACACTGTAGAGTTTATTTTTTGTGATATTCTTACTTTCTACATCTGAACTGGCATAAAGTTAAAAGGACAATCTAATTTAAACAGTCTAAAACGAAATTGTAGAAAACAGTACCATCCAACTAAGAACAAAAAACATTTTCACATATGACATGAGAGAAGCGTGTACCATGGCGAAAATACTTTTCCTGGTATTGATCCTGTAAATCTATAAAATCGTATATTACCTTTCAAATGTGCTTTAATATCCAGTCGATTTTCTTGTTCAAACTATTTAATGTAATTTGCAACTTAAGACTTAAACTTTTGGCGATGAGTCTGGTATTTTTCTGAAAGAGTTCCTTCCCCTATTCTATTTAATATCAGGACCGTTAACGGTACATGAATTCCGTACACGAATATCAACAAAACATCATGCCATCGATGGTATATATTATTTCCTTATTTACGTACTGTCTAACAGAATTGATGGTTTATATTCCATGAAATGGTTCTTACCTATCATAAATAGACGGTGTTATGATCAAAACTGTATTCCTTATCCCTGGGAAATTTATAGTATACTGATTATCAAATTGATGCAATAAAAATGGAATTGTATAAACTTGAATGGGGTCAGGATAACTATATCATATAATTTGAGTCTCAGAATGATAAGCAGTAAGTCCAAAGAAATCATAACGTGTGACACAGGTGCTTTTGAAATTTGCATTTTTGTTCATTGATGAGAAGATTGAGTTAGCAGGTGATGTTCAATCGAGATCAATCTACTCTATCCATTAGTCGTTACCATCTAGCCTCTAAATTTTATTATTGAGTTGACAGTTTCTGTTCATTCTTGATCAATCAAATCTATCCTTATATGTGTTAGACTTAAGGTTAAGTTGCAGTAAATGGGCTATGTCACAGACTTTCTTAAAATTGTGCATACATCTTTCAAATTGGCTTGTTGAACTGTAATTGAAAATCTAAAAAATAATGCCTTATCTCTTTTTTTTCTGAAATATTACTGATTGAGTTCTTTCAAAATAAGGTGCCCATTTGTATTCAAAGCACATGAAATTGGCGAAAAACCTTCTTAAATTTGTCTTCATCAAAATTTCGTCAATTTCATGTGTCTTCCTATACAAATGTTCAATCAGTTATTTTTCAGAAAACAAAAGAGATAAAGGACGATTTTCATATAGAATGCAACAAGCCCAAGTTATATGCAAAATTTTACCAAAATCTGTGACATAGCCCATTTACTGTTCCTTGGCCTTAAATCGACATCTGTTCCTCAGATAGATGTCTTATCTGACGTGTCATTCGCAAATCAGGGTCTAATATTTTTTACCTTTTAATTGACACCCTATGTGATGTCATGTATCACCAAATCAACATCCAATCAATCCAAGTCTCATCTGAACATTATTGATGTCCAATATGAAATAATTTTTTTCCAGTTTGATCTTTATTTCTTTTTTCTGTTGTGAAATTTTTTTTATGATAATATGAAAATGACATTTTTTTTATTATATTTTTAATCATTACAAATCATACATGATAATGATTTAGTTGACTTATGAATAGAAACAACAAAGGAAACAACATCCCGTCAAAAAGAATCTCAGACATGGACAACAAATCATAAGGACAGAAAAATCGAGCGCACCCAACAGTGTTTACAAGTTGTTGAGCAGTGATTGAAAAGTGCTATTTACGGTATATTTATTCATTTGTGGAGGAAATTTTTCAAGTCAGGTACATTCATATTTGTTTATTAACCATCATTAAACTATCACTGTGAAGATAAATGAGATAAATAAGAAAGTGAATTGAAATTATCCAGTTGATATTTCGCCGTTGAGTAAAAAGTATGGCGGACCAGTCCGGTGAAGAAAATAAACAAACACAAATAAACACAATGACAATACATTCAGAAAACAAGAATGCAGACAGAAGAAACGATGCACCTAACACTGACAATAAGTTAAAAAGAGCTCGGTCTAATGAAAATGTATCAGAAACCGAACAAGAAACAAATAAACGTCTGAAAAAAGATGACATTGGTAACGAATTGGGTGAATTAAAAACACTCATGTATGATCTTGCTGTTGAGATGAAAGATATGAATGACAAAGTATTTGAACGTATTGACAATTTAGAAAATACTTTTGCAAAAAATATTGTTGAAAATATGAGCAAAATGATTGACAATAAAATAAATAAAGAGGTGAATAAAGTGAAAGACGATTTTAAAGCTCAAATGACCACAGTAAACAAAAGGATTGACGGCATCGTAAATAAACTGAGGAGCGATATTAAAAACATACATACCGAGGTCGCGGACAGAGTGCGCACAGATTTAATCAGTACACAGGCAGGTGCAATTACTCGGCCGATACAGCGAGATACAAAATTTGTAGTTAAAATGCTCTCAGAAACCGATGCAGAGAAGACAGACTCTGAGCTGACAAAAAATCGGGTATCCGCTATCATTAGAGATGGTCTTCATTTACATGATGTTCGAGTTGTTGAAGCTACCAGAATTGAAAGCAAAGGAAGTCGCCCAGGGCTTGTGATAGCTTCCGTAGAAAATGAAGAACAGAAAGAGAAGTTGATGAAAAGTAAGAGAAAGTTGAAATATTCACGCGATTATCAAAAAGTTTACATTGAAAATGAACTGACATCGGAAGCACGGGTACAATTGTCAAATATGATGACAGTGTTGAACGGTATTGGCCGTGAAAAAGACTTTGTGGTTGTAAACGGCAAAATTCAGAAGAGAGGCAATAACATGAGAGGTAGAGAATATGACAATGTAAACGGACAAAGACGACCAGAAAGAGAGGAGTGGACACCAGTACAAGGACGACATTTCCGTGGTCGAGGTGGTAGAGGTGGACGCGGATATTAGGAATTAACGCTTGGTGTTTGGAACATTAGAGGGTGGTCAGCACGTCAAAATGATAATTCAAACTTTAGATGTCATGTTGTAAACGCTTTAAATTTTGATATTCTATGTTTATGTGAAACTTTTTTGAGAGAAAGTGATAAAATAAATGTAGAAGGTTATACTTGTTTTCAGAGAAACAGGGACAAAGTTCATGTTAATTCCAAGAGAGGTTCTGGTGGGGTAGCGGCTTTAGTTAAAAATTATCTATTGAAATATTATAATGTTGAAATTTTAAACAGTGAAGTACAAGATATTCTATGGATAAAATTGAGTAATGAAAATGATATAATATGTTTATGTGTGTGTTACTTACCACCAGAAAATTCTATATATAATGACTCACTAGTTTTTTATACTAAACTGCTAGAACAGGTGTATATGTATCAAAATATTGGTAAATTGTATATTTGTGGTGATTTTAATTCTAGATGTGGAGATGCCCAAGATTTTATTGAAGGTGTTGATAATGTACAAATAAGAGAAATTGTTGATAGTATATCAAATAGAAATGGTGATTTACTCATTGAGTTTTTAGTAGATTGTAATATGTGTATGGTAAATGGGCGAATTGGTTCGCAAGATTTTACTCATATTAAAGGTACAGGGAAATCTGTTGTAGACTATGTCCTTACTCCACATGAACAGTTAAACGATGTAATTAATTTTAAAGTGAATACAATGTCAGACTTAGTAACTGAGTTATCGCTTGTCGGATACGAGTCGATTCCGGACCATTCTTTGTTAGAATGGGGCATACGAGTTAGAACGTATATGTCGGAAGTAGAGCAAAACGAGAGCGGTATAGGAGTAAATCGGGTTAAAGGTCCAAGAAAGTTCAAGCTAGATGGATTGAGTAACGAACCTTTTTCTAGTGAAAATATGCAGAATGTATTACGAGATACTATATATCGAATTGAAGTTGCTTTAAACCGTAGTAAAGACGTAAATAAGGCTTTTATCGAACTGAAATATTTACTTATTAAAGAATTGGAGCTAACATGTAAAGAATTGAAACCGCCCTTTTCTAATATGCGAACGAATAAGTGTAAGCGGAAACTGTATTGGTCTGATGAATTACAGGACTCATGGAACAAAACGTGTGATGCTGAGAGGCAATGGAAGCGATGCAAATCAATTGGAAAATCTAAGCTCCGTACTCGATTTATGCAATCACGAAAAGATTTCGACAAATTAAATCGGAAAGCGAAGCGAAATTATCAGCTAGAACAACAAAATAAACTTCAAAAACTTGGCGAACAAAATTCATCTGAATTTTGGAAGTCTATAGGAAAATTAGGACTTGCCAATGATCGCAAATCGAGACAGACTTTTCAAATTCGATCAGAAACAGGAGAAATTATAAGTGACATTGACTCTGTATTAGAAAAATGGAAAATAGACTATAAAAAGTTGTACAACAGTGCTGATATGAATGGTTCGTATGATGACGAATTTCTTAAGGACATTAAAAGTAAACTTCAAAATAGGAATAATTTAGTCCGTGACAATAATATTGATACAACTGAACTTAATAGAGCTATTGAAAGGGATGAGGTACGCGAGGCCGTTTTTCGAGCTAAGCAAGGTAAATCCGCTGGAATTGATGAGATACCGAGTGAGATTTTGCGAAATGACACGTGTATAGACTTGTTATATAAAATTATTCAGTTTTGTTTCATAGAAGGGCACGTTCCTAGTGAATGGTTAACGAGTATGATCTCTCCGATTCCGAAACCGAAAATGGATTCCCTTAATCCACTTGAATACCGTCCAATTTCATTAATATCAGTGCCGTGCAAAATATATGCGGATATTTTGAATAAAAGATTGACAAATTGGTTAGAACAAAATGACATGTTAGCAGAAGAGCAAAATGGATTTAGACGTAACCGAAGCTGTTTGGATCACTTATATGTATTAACAACAATTATTAAAAATAGAAAGTTACGAAGGAAAGATTCTTTCGTGTGCTTTGTTGATGCGAAGAAGGCTTTTGATAATGTTAATCGGGACATGTTGTGGTATAAGCTGATGAAAATTGGTATTAACGGAACGTTTCTAAAAGCAATTCAGTCTCTTTACGATGCGACACAAAGTGCAGTAAAATTAGGAAACAACTTGACAGATATTTTCCCGGTTCAATACGGTGTGAAACAAGGCTGTAAAATGTCTCCTACTTTGTATTCCATATATGTTAACGATCTTGCGGATGATATTCGCTCGCTTAATGCTGGTGTAGATATTGGTGATTTAAATGTATCTATTCTTCTTTACGCTGACGATGTTGCGTTGATAGCTCCAAATGAACAGAATTTACAAAAGATGTTGGACTGTTTAAAAACCTGGTGTAGGAAATGGAGAATGACACTAAATAAAGAAAAAACAAAGGTTATTCATTTTCGTAATAAAAACACTGCTAGATTTACTGTCGAATTTAACTGCGGAGAAACTTCGGTTAATTATATTTCATCCTACAGATATTTGGGACTGCATTTGAATGAATTTTTGGATTATAAACATACAGTACGAGAAATTACTAAATCAGCAAGCAGAGCACTTTCAGCCTTATATGCTAAATTTATTTCATGTGGTGGAATGACTTATGATGTGTTTACGAAACTTTATAGGTCTGTAGTTGAGCCTGTTCTATACTATGGTTCTGGAATATGGGGGCATACAAATTGGAGAGATGTACAAGTTATACAGAACAAAGCATGTCGGTTATTCTTAGGAAGTGCTTCAAATGCGTCAAATATAGCCATTCAGGGTGATATGGGACTTAAAAGTACGAAATCAGCAGAAATTTTGGAAACTTTTCGTCTTTTTCTTAGAGTGAGCAAAACTTACGATACAAGACTTACATATAAGGTTCATGCGTGGAGTAAGGATTGTTCTAGGTCATGGGATAAAAACTGTATAAAGAAAGCACAAATTTTAGGTATTGAAAATGTTATTAATGATACTTTTTCCATCAAACATAAACTGCAAGAAATCAAATCCAAACTCTATGAAAAAGATAAAAATGAATGGGTTGAAAAATTGTTTAATGACAGAAATGAATGTAATGGTAATAAATTACGTATGTATAGGGAGTATAAAAATGTTTTAGAATTTAGTTCTTATGTAAAATTAGTTCGTAATAGGCAGCATAGACGTGTTTTGTCAAATTTTAGAAGTGGCTGTTTACCACTGGCAGTTGAAACGGGTAGATACACCAAGCCAAAAATTCCTTTAAATGAGCGTACTTGTATATATTGTACAGATAATTGTGTTGAGGATGAAAAACATTTTTTGTTAGGGTGCGATTTTTATGCAGATTTAAGATATGATTTAATGAAGAAATCTGGTGATATTTGTGAGACTTTTAACGATCTTGATTTACAGGACAAATTTATTTTCTTAATGTCAAATGATGCAATTCAACCATTTTTAGCAAAAACTTTATATCACATGTTTTATCGAAGGAGGTATTGTGTGTAATAATATTTTAGTACATTAGTTTTAATTGTTTTATAATATGTGTTATATTTTTAAAGTGTCTCATAAGTCAGTTATTTGGCTGGGTACCAATATTCTAATTGTAATATTTAATTTTTAATTGCATATTATGTAATTATGTATTCATTGTGTTTTATATTGGTATGTGACACTATAATAAATTATTCTGATTCTGATTCTGATTAATAATTTGTGCGGAAGACATTGATCCACCTGATCTATGTTGTCTAATTAATTCCATATTCATATATTTTAAATGGAGATGTAGGTATATGTCAACAAGACAGCAACCCAACAACAAAGATAACCAAAAGTTATCTACAGACTTCAACAAAAGACAGCTGTGTAAACAGTGTCCTAATTAAAAGTAATAAATAAAGATGAATAAGGCCAATTTATATAACCAAACAATTCTCCAACTAACCAAAAATGTTCAGATAAGACTTACAACAACTTCGGAAGAGGTTCCTAATTTAGGATGTGGAAATTGTTTAATTAGCAAAAAACAGCAATATGTAGAGTTATTGCTATGGAAAAGGATCAGATGAAATACTACTATGTCAATTTAAGATTGATATCATTACCTGTTTACCTCGATGATAAACTTATGAAATTTAGATAAATCTAATTAAATGACATTTTATTTTATTTGACTGAAGCAAACATTTTTTTAAAAGCCGTTAAATCTCAACAAAATACTGGAAGTTGATTTGAGAATGGAAAAAGATTTACATAAGAGGTGCATAGAATCAGCCTTCCATTTGGAATCATACTCTTATGACATCAGATGAACTATTTTCAAATTACCGACTTTTGACTCTTAGAGTATATAATTTTTCTACAAGGTCACCTACTCTGTGGTAAGACATTCTGGTACTCAGTCAAGTAAGAGCCACTAAAAAGAAGTAAAATCAAGCTGACAATCAGTTCAATTTGGAGAAAAAAGTAACTGTTTTATGGTAAAACAGTTATGTCCTATCACAAAGTAGGTTTTCTGTAAAAAAATTATATATGCCGGAAAAGTAAAAAGTCTGTAATTAAGATAGTCTTTTCGACATTGATTAGAGGAACAGACATCAATTAGAGACCCGATCTCGATCTAAGTCCTTCATTTATATAATCAAAGCATTGCAATTTGGATTGAATTGATTGTGCAAATTGAGTAGAGAGATTTCAAAATCAACTGTTGTACCAATTTAATGTCAAATACTGTAACTCATTGTTGAAAGTGGTCATGGGGTCTGTGCAACCAAAATGGTTGGAACAATTTTACAATCTTGCATTACACTGATTATATATTAAAGTTTTAAAGATAAATTTAGGAGGATTTTGCAGTAATTTTGATTTTGATTTATGCAAATTTTGTATTGGTTTAGTTTTTTTTTATTGAGGTAAATTCTCAATAAGGCAGGGTAAATTTGATTCAATTAGGGCATATATGACAGGCAGAGGTATACTCCCTCTTAAATTACCCCTTTGGATTCTGAAAATTTCAATTCCATCTAATAGCTGTTGTGAATATTTATTTGTCTTAACTCAGTTATAACAAAAAAAAAGCAAACAAAAGAAAGATTACTCTCCTAAATCATTTGATATTCATATATTCCATTCTCAATTTTATATACTGTAAATTCAGAAATTATTGTGTGTATTTATTAATTATTGCCATTTCAGGAAAATCTGCATACAGATTTCTGTATCAGATATCAGAATGCGAGTTTTTATAATTGCGATACTCATCCAGTCGCATTATTCACATTAATAAAAACCTCGCAATAATTTCTGAATTTACAGTGTTCAATGATTTCACAGTCAATTTTTAAATGGAGGAATTAAATTTAATGATTTTGTTATGAAACATCATGAAACTGGAATATGTGTCTATAGGACACCATGCCCAGGTCGCTCTTATCATATATTCATGTTCAGTGAACCAAGAAATCAGGGTCAAAATCATAATTTAGCATACAATTTAAAAGTTTATCTCGTGATGAACATTGGAACTCAGTTTCAAGTTGGTGTAACCACAATTTATGGTCAACTACCTTAACCATAAATTTAACCTGAGAAAATATTAGTCTCACACTCATATTTCTATGTTCATTGGACTCTGAAATGGGAGTCAAAACCATTTGACATTTCATTTTAAAAGTCCACATTATAATGAGCATATGTATTCAATTTACATGTTGATGTTAACATATGCAAAACTAAATAGTAAACTATCTCAACAAAAACAGAGGGACTAATGGACAGACGTTAAGGTAGAGACTAATAGATAAATAGGTGAAGGGTTAGTCACACTCAGATCAGAAAACATCATGACTTTCTCTTTCTATTGTAGGCCTGCACATAAAAAATGACACTAATATTACAACCAAATTGTACAAGTCTATGACTTAGATGAATTTTAGAGATAACTGCTTAATAAAACCTTCTTAAACACTTTTGATTCTAATGTTTGAATTGTATAAGAGAGTTGAAACTGAATTAGTTGAAAATGGAGTACCAGAAATACCATCACTACAATAAACTTAACTATTTTCATTTTGGCGTAGTTCATGTCTTAGATGAAGATTTCCCTGCTGTTTGATTTACATGTATGTAATGCTAAATGACCTTTTTTAAAATGCATTTTTTCACTGTACTTTAAGAATTATATAATACAACACTACATTGCCTTGTTATTATACCAGAAACAATGACAAAAGTTGCCATCAACAATTAGCTTACCAGCTCAGTTTTGAAAAATAAATTAAAGAAATAAAGAATCTCAGAATGTTTTTACCATAAACTAATGCTTTGATGATTTTATTTTGCTTTCTAGGTTCATCTTTGACCATGAAGTTGAATATGTTGATCAGAACCCAAACACTGATGCTGAATGGAAGTGTCTGCACGAAATGTGGTAAACTTCTTACCTTCAGTGTCCAGAGATTTAAATCATTACCAGCTGTACATTTTATAGCTGGATTTCACACACAGGTTTCAGAAACCAAATATGCAAAAGAGAATATAGAGAAGAAAGCTGAAACAAGAAAAAAGAAACCCAATGCAAACAAAGTATACAGTTTCATTGATGAAGAAAGAGCAGGTAAAAGTACTTAATAAAGTTATGTGCGTGAGATATTTTTATGATTTATTCAGAATACCATTAAAATTTTTAGTTTGTTTGACAAGATTTCAAGAAATTTTGTGTGTCTTTTTCAATAGAATAATCAATTTCATATAAGGCACAGCACTAATCAGATATATTTAGATTTAAATAGATACTTTCAATTAGATGACAGTTGTCACTTAACCCGAATGACTCAACCCCTGAAAAACTGTTTTGAATCACTTATCTAAGCTTGAATGTTTTATATTATGTACATCTTTTATACAGTTTCAAGTCAAAACTTTAATTATCAGATATGAACAATTTGTCTATATATACAAGTGGAACCATCTATTTCATTTTCCAAAATTTTAAAAATCTTCATAGTGGAAAACAAGTTTGGAATCTAAAATATTTGCATATAATAGAAAAAAAACAGCTATGAGGTATCCATCCATATCACATGATCACACATCATCAATACATGCACAGCAAAAAACACAAAAAGCAAAGGAACAGAGCTTTTATTGCTGTTCTTCATCTCAAAGTCACAGTGAGGCCTTCAACACATAGCAAAAAAACTCTCACCTCACCACAAGTTTAAGATGGCCCCTAGCACCAGTTTTAGCGGTATATAACACAGATAAATAAAAGGAAATAAGAAAGAAAAGAAAAAGATATTAAACTTTTATTCTTTCAGCAATCTTATGGATTTAGATTTATATTCAAGAAGTTGCAGATTGTATTTTTTCGTATTGGCACTCTAACTAAAGTTTTACCTCATCCAAATTTTTTGAAACTCATACACAAAGCTAAAAACCAAAACTCACAGACAGAGTTAGAATTTTGGCAGTGAGTCACTTATTGTTCTAGAGTTGTGCCCCTTTATAACTTGGAAAATTGCAAATTTATTGGTTTTCACACTCTTAACTTAAGTTTGTTTCATCCAAATTTTACGAAACTCATACACAATGCTAAGAACCATAACATGCAGACAGAGTTTGAATTTGTGCAGTAAGTCATTTACCGTTCTAGAGTAATGCCCCTTTTTAACTTGGAAAATTGCAAAGCTTGAGCGGGGACATTCATGTCCTGAGACACATTCTTCTTTTATTTTTGATTAGAATTATGAGTTCAATTAACTTTTGACTGCATATATTTAATTGTTTTAGGACAAATTGCAAATGCCATTCTGAAGAACAGAAAATATAGAGATGGTATCCTCATCGAAACAGATGCAGGTAATTCATCAATTAGACTTAGTCTTAAATTGTGCAAACCTTGAAAAAGATTTGGATAAAATAATTGCTTTAAAAACATTACCAAATAAACTTTAATGTATTTAAAAATCCTAAATGCAAAAGGATAACACAAAATAATGCACCATTCAAATTCTTTATATTTTACAGGGTATTGATGATAAATGATCATCAGATCTTGACTTCAGAAAATATTTTTATATTAGTTGAAAGTTCCAGGACTAATGAGATCTGAACTTCCTGCTCCACTGACCTCACCTGTCATGGTACTTCTGTTTAAGGTTGTACAGAAACATTTCTAGTGATGAAGCATCACACAAGAGAAGATAAATGGAAGTCTTGTGTCTAACCATTAGACATTACAAAATTCATAAATCATCAGTACATATAATTTCTCTAATTCTTTCAATAGGGACTTGATATGTAAGATGTAAATGAAACATATTTTTTCCTGTGCAAAGGATACACAATACTGTTACGGATAGAAATGGACATTGAAAAAATGTCTTGGTAGAAATACAGCAATGAAAACTAAAGTAAAAGGAACACAAACACATCTTGATAAAACCAGGAGTGAACTCAGGTTCTCTGAACCTCTTGATGTATTTTGAATTTTTTTGTGTGTTATTTGGTTGGGCTCATTGACATATATCCAAAATCACCTAGGACATAGATGAATATTCAAATTATATCAATCCTTTTGACTCTCTAATATGATTGAATTCTTATGTTTAATATTGTATTTCCTTTGTCTGAAGGTCAGGGAATATTAACCAAAGCTTTAATGGAGAATGGCAAGACAATAAAAAAATATATTGCTGTTGAAAGAAATATGGATTATCTAAAAGCATTAGAGGTAAGAAAAACATATGAAGATTGAATAAAGGAGAGGTGGGGTATACCTCAATGAGACAGCTTCCCAACAACACAAAAAGCCAAAAGACATCTAGCCTTAACATACAGTCTTCAACATTAGTCAAGTCACTATGCTTCAATTTGTGACTTGATTTGATAACTACAGGTAGAGTTTATAGTTGGAATGAATAAAGGGTGACAATACCTCTTGCAAAATGGTTAGTTGTTTATCTCCTTCCCATCAGAGGTTATATGGTAGAATGCATTTTTAATAAAAAAAATTTGTCAGGATGACAATTAACATTCGTTTCCACAAACAAACAATCAAACAAAAACCTCTGACTGTAAATAAAGTTCATCAGCTTACCCTTATGTTTTTATTAACATTTTTTGGGAAGATGTGAGTATAAATTCTATCTATCCATTATATATATTGATAAGTATAATCTGCTCTTTTCTCAATCACATCATCAATTATGATAAAGATGCCTTAATTTCTTTTGGATTCTTTATACATGTACTAATCAACATATCATGAAAACAAGAACGTTTGAAAAAGAAGGCTTGTTAATATAGATACCTCACAAATCTTCATGACAAACGCTTGGCAGAATCCTTTTGCATGTAGTTTAATTTCTTAAAATATTGTGGTTATTCTTAAAGAAGTCTACTGATTGATCATTCATTAATAAAAGAACTGATATTTTGTAGGATTTACAAAAGAAGTTGGGGAAAAAATCATTTTTGGTAAAGACAGGGAATCTTTCACATTTTAAATATGCCTACAAATATGGTGGATTACAAGGAAATATAAATTTAACAGATATTGTCTCCTTAGGTATTTATTTTAAGATTTTTTGTAATGGTATTATTGAAAAAAGAAAAGTTATATTGAACTGAAGTACTTTAGAAGGCAAATCTTGGATTTTAATAATTTAACTTTTTTAATGATTTAGAGAATAAATCTTAGATTTACATCCATAAATACTCATGTACATAAGGTGATAGTTTCTTCAATGGAAAAGAAAGGATATAGTGGGTCAATTCATGACAAAAGTCCCTGAAAAGGCACAAGAAAAAAGCAAAAGCAAAGTAACAGTGCTGTTATTGCTGTTCATCAACCACTTCATTAAGTGAGATGCAATATTTCTCAACGCAATGTAGTTTGATTTTCAAATACATTAATTCTTTAACTTTTGAGATTGTAGAAAATTCATATAGCACAAGATGCATTTGGAGAATTTTATTGGACGCTGAGGCTATTTTAAGAATATTGATGTGACGTAAGGACACAGTTATGAATAATGCACAAATTTTGAACAATAATTGCAGATTTTAAATAATTCCACCTGCATTTCCCTTTAAGATTTTATAGTTTACTGTGTTTTGAAAAGTTATATTTAACAAAATCTATAACCTGTTAATTTCTTCTTAGTTTAATTTCACTTTCCTACTTTTTTAAATATGTAGAATTCAAAATGGGAAGGTACATAAAAAACAGAAAAGAATACACTAAAAGGCTATTGATGACATTTGAAAACAATTAAAATCAAAGGGTTTGTTTTTTTTTATCAACTAAAATTCACTTTCATTATATAGATACAATTGAAAATAGTTTTAGTGTCCAAATTATTTTCATATTTGAGTGAAATTAGAAACCAATGTATCCCAATAAATAATGTTCATATTGGTAGGTTGATTAATTTATGTATTTATTTGGAAGTAAAAGTATGATAAAAAAGAATAACTGCTCTATCGTCCAAAAAAAAATTACTACATTGTCTGTTTCATATATAGATTGAACATTTTAATTATTTATAATTACTCTTGTAGAGAATAAGAAACAAAATGTGACATTTGTTGGAAAGATGTCTGAAGGCATTGAAAGTAGCATGGTATTTCACATGTTAGAAGAGCTTGCAGAGAAAGAAGGAGTGTTCAGTAATATAAACCCTGAGTATTTCTTCTTTGTATCACCAGCTATGTGCAGGGTAATACATGTATATATTGTTTACACAGTATTAAGGAACATGATTTTTTTTATTCCAGGAAACATTTACTTTTATTTTTTTTTTTATGTTTTGTCATTTAGAGAAGATTGCATTTTAGCTTTGAGCAAATCTCTAAGATATTCTGTGTGTTTCTCTTAAAATATTACCTATATTTTTCAATCCTCTTGCAATTTCTAGATGTTGTTTTCTTTTAATTTGAAATTGTACATACCTGCCAACTTTTGAAAATCCCCATGGGGGTTTTAGTGCGCGACATCAATTTCAAAGGTTACACTTCTTTGCGACGTTTTTTGCGCGTGCTGTTTTGTGGTCTAGAAAAAGTGTCATATTTGTATTATGAGCTTACAAGCCTTTTTCTTCTGTTTACCTGCATGATTCTAGTTATTATATCAGTAGAAAAGATGAACGTGTAGCTGGAATACCAGGATTTATTTTCTTGTGTAAGAATATTAAATGATTGTTGACTTTTCCATTTTATTTTTTTTTTTAAATTATGCACAAAGAAGGACATTTATTTGGTCCTTGTGAAAAATAAAGAATAGAACATTGTACTTTAAATGATTTGGTAATTTAATTTAATACAAAAATGACAACTGTAGTATATGATATGTTACAGCAAGTGTAATGTCAATAAGTTAGTGAATAAACTACTATTTATTATCTTTATGGTAGTACTGCATCATTGAATTTTGTCAATCAGCCATGCTTTTATTCTTAAGCTGTGTAAGAACCTCCTTGCAGATGAAAATTCACCTGCCGTGTTCACGATTTTACAATTCTGACTAACACACAGAGGAATACAACACAAGTTCAAAATCTAGCATGTCCCAATAATCTTGACAGAAAACTTTTTTGATTGGCTTATTAATTTAATCATGTGAAACACAGACTTTGATTGGCTGATCACGATTGTCTTCCCTTGGGAACAGTTCAAAATCGGGAACAATCATATTTTTCGTGTAGATTTTCACAAAATCGAATTTTAGAGGTTTTTTCACGATCACGATCGTGCAATCCTGACAAGGGGTCAAAATCGTGTAGTACACGCCTAAATAGTGAAAGTTGGCAGGTATGAATGTATCTTTAAATCCCGAACCAGTATACTGTTACTTTATAGGATAAACATTAGTTTCCATAAAGTAACATTTTTTACTTTGGTCGTCTCAATTTACAGCCATATAGAAGCTCTGCTAAGAAGTAGTGCTATGATCATTGCATTAGCATTGATCATATACAACTATAGCCTTTGTATGAGGTCAATACGAGGTTATATCGACCTAAGAGAAGCATATAGACTGAGGACGAATGCTTCTCTAGGTCGATATAACATCATATTGACCTCACCCAAAGGCTACAATTGTTATGTTATTAATCAACAACTATTGCATGAAGAATGTAGAATTGGAGATTTCTAGAATGTATTTTTAGTAACATGCTGTATGCCCTGTGCAATATGCTGTTTTTGACCTAGGAAAAGCTGAACAAAACAGTATTGGAGTGCAAACTGAGCAAATACAAATTTATATGTGATCAAGTTTTAACTAATCACAAATCCCTAAAAATATTCGGTTTATAATATTATACACCTATTGACTGGTTATGAGGGTAATAGCAAGTTTGTTATCCCTGAGGTACCAACTATTGCTCGAGGCGAAGCCGAGGGCAATAGTTAGTATCAAAGGGACAATAAACTTGCTATTACACTCATTACCAGTCATTAAGTGTTTTATTATACCGAACAAAAAAACTTTCTAAAAAAGTTTACATTCACCATGTGGAAAAAAACCAAATAGTCACTTAAACATGCACAAGAGGAACTATTTGGTTCCTTTTGACTGTGTGGTATTTGTACATATTTAATTTACTGTAATCAAGACCAGGAATCCATGTGTAATAATTCCTGTGCATAAAATAAACGCTAGCTAAAATATATTACCATACACCAAAGCAATCACAGATTATGAAGGCGACGAAAGTCCCATACAATACATTTGTTATGTTTTAGATCTTAAAATATGTCGCATAGTTTTTCTTTTTCTTTTTTAATTGCCTCTGGTAAGTATTTCATTAATTTGAAATTAGGATGACAGACACATACAGATTATACCGTTTACGATATTTCAGAGTTTAACGCGTTGCCAAGCGCTCAAATCCAAGCAGAATAGTCAATGACGTCATTGCTGTCCAATGAAAAATTAGTATGAAAAAATCCAGTAAATATGTTGATAAAACTATTAACCGGGGTAATAGTCATTGAAACTATTAACTGGCAAATAGTCTGTGGAATGAAATAGCACAAATATTTCATTCTTTTTTTTATAGAAAAAACATACTGAGGTATAATAATAATGAATATTATACAATTACTGTTTTTTGATGAGGTAAATATGTGGTTTTTCAAAAGTCAAAACAAAAGACTAATTGTTTTATTCTGTATTCTGAGAGAGAAAATGCATGTCATAACAATTAGTTACCAAAACCAATTGTACATTGTACGATTTTACTACATGTATAATTATGCACGTAAAATCATGCGACACTTTGCAGGGTGATTATACTTTTTCCTCAGATGAATATGCTGTTTTATTCAAAATCCAATTCATATAGAAAAACCTATCAAAGTTCTATCGATATGGAAAAAACTGTATTATTTTTGCAAGAAGAATTGCATTTTCAATCAAGCTTGTAAATTATTTAAGGAAAATCATAATATGGCATATAATTTTTTACTATTGTTTTATTTTTGTAGAGACTTCGTAGTGTTGAATTTAGAGGAAGTAGTTTAAGATATTTCCTTCCATTTCCTATGATGATGCATCAGCTTTTTAAAATAAAATATATCGATAAGGTGAGTGTTGTGTCATTCAAAATGAACAGAAACTATATTGGGCAGAATTTACTGCTTTCAAAAAAAGTTAAGCTGATCTGATTTATTTGTGCTATTTGAAAAAGAAAAAATGTATGTACATGGACATAAGAATTCTTCATTTGTGATTTTTATGTCGAGCCTGCGACTTCTGTCGCAGAAAGCTCGACATAGGGATAGTGATCCGGTGGCGCCAGGCCAGGCGGCGTTAACTAACTACTTTAAAGCTTTATATATTAGAAGGTGGATGACCTGTATGCTTCATATTTTGTATATAGATGCCTTATATTATGAAGTTTCCGTCTGTCATATGTCCATTGTCCTTGACCTCATTTTCATGGTTCAGTGACTACTTGAAAAAAAAGTTAAGATTTTTTGTAATGTTAATTTCTCTCTTATTATGAGTAATAGGATAACTATATTTGGTATGTGTGTACCTTGCAAGGTCCTTGTGCCTGTCAGACAGTTTTCATCTGACCTTGACCTCATTTCATGGATCAGTGATCAAGGTTAAGTTTTTGTGGTCAAGTAGATATCTCAGATACGATAACCAATAGGCCTACTATATTTGGTGTATGGAATGATTGTAAGGTGTACATGTCCAACTGGCAGGTTTCATCTGACCTTGACCCCATTTTCATTGTTCAGTGGTTAAAAGTTTTGTGTTTTGGTCTTTTTTTCAAACACTATATGCAATAGGTCAGCTTTATTTGGTGTATGGAAATATTTTATTATGTACATGTCAGTCTGGCAGGTTTTATTTGACCTTGACCTCATTTTCAGGTTTCATTGCTCAGTGTTTGGTTTTTATGTTTTGGTCTGTTTTTCTTAAACTATAAGCAATAGGTCAACTATATTAGGTGCATGGAATGATTGTAAGGTGTATATGTCTCTCTGACAGGTATCATCTGACCTTGACCTCATTTTCATGGTTCATTGGTCAATGTTAAGTTTTCATGGTTAAGTATTTTTCTTAGATACTATAAGCAATAGGTCAACTATATTTAATGCATAGATTGATTGTAAGGTGTACATGTCTGTCTGGCATGGTTAATCTGACCTTGACCTCATTTTCATGATTCATTAGTCAATGTTAAGTTTTCCTGGTTAAGTTCGTTTCTAAGAAACTATAAGCAATAGGTCAACTATATTTGGTGTATGGAATGATTGTAAGGTGTACATGTATTTCCGGTTTGGTTTATCTGACCTTGACCTCATTTTCTTGGATCATGTTAAGTTTATGTGATACTTGTAGTAGTAAAGCTTTATATTTAGGACTATCAACATAAAATCAATTGTCAGTTAAGCAGGCGAGACATTTCAGCATGTGCACTCTTGTTTTTAATATATATTATATATAAATCCACATTTAAAAAGAAGATATTGTGGGGTCAATTCTGACAAGATTTTAATCAACTTGGTACTACTAGAAAAAGCAATGTCACATATTTATTTGTATATGGATAAAATTTTGTTTTTTCTTTTCTGATAGTTTAAAACATTTTTAAATTTTTTTTATTTTATTCATTGTCAGGAAATATGCTATATTTTTAACTAAAATAAATTCTTGAATTATTATCTGTGTGTTTACATCAGGAGAAAACAAAAACTGCTGAAGACAAAACAAATGATTTTTTTACATTTTTGTATCTTTCAACACCTGGCTTGTAAAAATTCAAACACTAACTTATTACTTTTCATCTTGGGAATAACGAAAGTTGCCATTGGTTGGCTTTGAAAACAAACACAGACAATATTAATACAGGAGTCTAAACTCAAAGCTTTTGATATTAATAAATCAAATGTGTATACAATTTCTCTGATGGAGTTTCAAAAAAAGTTAATAAACATATTTGAAAGTACAATTGCAACCTAAAAAGGATGAACATGACTAGATAACATATTAATATTTTAAGTGTTTTCTCGATTATAATAAAGACATAAATTTCCTTATCTATCGCCATTGATTTATCAATTAAGTAATGTAGATTCTCTTTATTTTCATACCGAAATTGAAATACAGTTCCATCTTATGTTATGATAAGTAAGCAACTAATTTGGGGACTAACTGTGCACCACTTATTGCAGACCTGTTTCTGTATTGTTATGAGTTACAATTTATGACTAAAATCAGCAAAGACCAATCGAAAAAACTTCTGATACAAAAATTTAATAACACTTTTAGATATTTGGATGATACAGGTTATGTTCTTCTCATATATTTTATGATGGTATGATACTAAACCCTTAACTGGAGGGACTGTGCTGGATTTTCATATGATGAAGACATAGTCTTTCAATCAGTTTAATTGAGGTCTGGAGCTGGCATGTCAGTAACTGCTAGTAGTCCTTTGTTAATTTATGTATCATTGTCATTTTGCTTAGTTTCTTCTGTTACCCGTTCTGACATCGGACTCTTGACTTCTATTAAACTGAGTTTTACTGTGCGTATTGCTGTGTTTTGTTTATTCTACATTGGCTAGAGGTATAGGGGAGGGTTGAGATCTTACAAAACATGTTTAACCCCGCCACATTTTTGTGCCTGTCCCAAGTCAGGAGCCTCTGGCCTTTGTTAGTCTTGTATGTTTTTTTAATTTTAGTTCATTTATATGTTTCAGAGTTTAGTGTGACGTCCATTTTCACTGAACAACATGTAGTACACATTTTTGTTTAGGGGCCAGCTGAAGCCCGCCTCTGGGTGCAGGATTTTCTCAATGTGATGAAGACCAATTGGTGGGCTTGGGCTGTTTTCTGCTCTTTGGTCTGGTTGTTGTCTCTTTGACACATTCCCCATTTCCTATCTCATTTTTAATTAAAACTGAGAGCCCAAACTAAGACCTCTTTTTTTAATGAGACATTTAATAAATTAACTTTGATTAACATTAACTTTCTTAACATATTTCTACTACACAGGTCCCATTATCATCATTAAATTTACTACCTGTCAGAAAGTTTCAAGAGGTAAGTGGAGAATTAATATATATAAGGAGATGTGGTATGATTACCAGTGAGACAAGTATCCACCAGAGAAAAAAGGAAGAGGATGTAAACAACTATAGAGCACCTTATGGCCTCCAATTATGAGCAATACCTGAACTGAATAGAAAACTATAAAAGGCCCTGTCAACTTCACTGTTTTATGCCTATTAAGACTCTCATTTTGTACATGTGCTCACATGCATATCTTACATATCCCTGCTACATTAGTTGTATGCTAGATCAAGACATTTGGAATCTGATTACAGTAGTTGTCGTCTGTTTATGTAGTTCATACGTGTTTCTCGTATTTATATAGATTAGACCGTTGGTTTTTCCGTTTGAATGGTTTTACACTAGTAATTTTTTGGGGCCCTTTATAGCTTGCTGTTCGGTGTGAGCCAATGCTCGGTGTTGAAGGCCGTACCTTGACCTATAATAGTTTACTTTTATAAATTGTAACTTGGATGGAGAGTTGTCTCATTGGCACTCATACCACATCTTCCTATATCTATTTGCCTATATTATGAATGATATTCAATATTTAATGGTATTTTTTTCTTAAAACTGTGAATTAATTAATCAGGTGAATGATTTTTTATGTACTATTAAGATAATACTATAGTTTAATGAAATAAAAACAAAATAAGTAATTTACGTTAAGAAATAATATTATAAGGGTTAGGTGAACCCAACACCTATCTATGGAACTAAAAGGTTTGGACAATAATTCCAAGATATTCTTCACTATACTTTTTTACTGTTTTAATAAACTATTAAAGCGAACAAGGAAAAAATCTTTTATAAGTGGTTGCTTGCGGTATGCTGTGGTCCACTTCTTAAAGTTGACAAAATAAATTACTATAAAAAAGCAACACACATTAATTACCTCTGAATTTCAGGTTTTTTAGTTCTACTAGTTTTAATAGCTTTGTCACCTATTTCCTGTTGACAGCACACAGATGGCAAAACTGGAAGCACTCATTTAACCTCGTACCTAAAAATAAATAGTGGTATGAATGACAATGAGACAACTATCCACCAGAGAACAAAGAACAATGATGTAATTATAGGTTTCATAACAAGTGAGAATTGGATATCACTCAAGTTATTTAATTTCAATATGATAATAAATGAGCCTTCGACGAGTTTATTATTACTATTTGAGTTAAGGATGTTTGCTACACTTGTTTTTGACTATTTGTCAGATATTCTAAATCCTCTAGTTTTATCCATGTTAGTGCCAATAAAAATTTTGCAGGCTAACACTTACTTTTTTTTCCTTATTTTATTAAATATTGTTTAAAAAGCCATTTTTGAAAATCTTACATAATCCTTGTTATTTTTTCATAGTTTTTGAAAGAAAAAAGGTGCCAATGTTAAATGTATGAAAAATCTAGAGAGAAACAGTTCCCGCCAAATTTTCAATGGCTTATATCTCGAAAACAAGCACACAGACCCATCATTTTTTCCTGCTTTTTTAGTTCCTTTATTTATATACTATCAATTTATAATAGTCTTTTAAAAAGCTTGTTATTTTAAAACAGAGCAGCGAACTTCCTTAAATAACGAAAGTTGATATCAAGCGATATCCAATTCTCATGAGATGTTAAATCTATTTCTGTAATGGTCAACACTCCTTTTCTGTTAAATTAAAAATTTCGTGAATCGTTAATCAAGTATTTTGCACATACCAGTATGACATCATATATCCTGTTCCAGCGTCAAACTTTTACATCAGACATTTTAAAACTTTATGTACGCTTCAGAATGTAATAAAATTTGACAAAAAGAAGATTTTCAGGTGAAAAATGTGAGTGTTTTGTATATTATTGAAGAAATCACATATTTCCATTGCCATGGATGAAATGTACCTTGTCTCAACCTTTGACCTAATGAATAGCAAATGGAAATTTCATAATATCGTCTCATGATGCTGTATAGGCCAATAAAATTCACGCAGTTTTCGTATTACTTTTTTGTATCACACTCTGTGCAGTGTGATACAAGAAATATCTCTTCATGCAAGAAATCGATAACAGGCCACAACCATAAGAAGTCAACTATATCTCATCAAACAGCCTTCCACAATGAGTAAAACTCATACTCTATAGTAAGCTATAGCCTATAAAAGGCCCAGGCATGACAATGTGTGAAACGATTCAAACAAGAAAACAAACAACCTGATTTATACTTAAACAAAAAGTGAAAATCAAATATGAAAATCAGATACTAATGACAAAAAGTGAAAATCAAATATGACAATCAGATACCAACGACAAAAAGTGAAAATCAAATATGACAATCAGATACCAATGACAAAAAGTGAAAATCAAATATGACAATCAGATACCAATGACAGAAAGTGAAAATCAAATATGACAATCAGATACCAATGACAAAAAAAAAAATGAAAAACAGACTCTGACTTAGAACAGACATATAAAATATTTTTAGTACATTTTATGATGAAAATAACTGCTAAAATAATATATAAGATCTTAATTATTGACACATGTCAACTTTTCAGACCTTGGTGGTCTACCTCCTTTTTGAGTGGGAGATTTGCCTTTGACTTTAGTTATGTGATTATTTTGTATGATATGTATCTTACTTTTTTAAAAATAATCTTGCTATTAACACTTCAAATATCATCTTCCAAATCATTACAGAACCAATAAACTTAAAAAACATCTAGTAAAGTTACTTCTATCTTGTGAAGACAAAAAACTTCTTTCCTTTAAAGACAAAAAGCAGTCCCGGATTTTTAAAAATTACTAGATTGAGGGAAAAAACCTATTGAGGTTAATTTACAACCCCATAGAAAGGACCATACAGGAACAGTATTTGTAAAAGGATTTTTTTCTGTTAGTTGAAGTTACCAGATGATGTTGTTACTGGAAGTAATGGTTATTTATTCCACGTGGTTCCACGACTTCATGTTATAAGAGAAGTGGACAACTTTCATCATCTTTATAAATTCTTATTCCAAGTTATCTCAAAGAAAAAGAGGGAAAGATTGATTCCAAAGATATGGTAAGTGACATAAGAAGTTTGAAATAAATGTATATGAAAGAAAAATACATGTACTTTGTTTTCCTACAACCTTTAGTTTTAATTCATCTTGTTCAAAAATTGCCTTCTTTTTGACTCCATCATTGGTTATCTATCGATAACAAGCAATTTAAAAAAAAACCTAATTATCCTTTAAAATATTACATGTATAGCCAAATAAAAGCAGATATAGAAAAAGTAATTAGTAGTTACTACAGGCTTTTTGTGAGTTTCGTATCAGTTCACCATCTTTGGTTGTGTCTTTAGAATTTTTAAACTTCTTCTTTTATTTATAATTGTTAAGCAAATTCCTTTATATACACATTTCAATATTTTCTGTATGTATTGACAAATATAAATTGATTGTTCATTTAAGGGTCTGCTAGCCAATTCTAGAATATCTCGACTTAAACACCGTTTCTCTATAAAAGACTGTGATCTAGGTACCTGTAGTGCTAACCTGAATCAATCTTTACAAAGTCTCACATAGTGAACCAGGATTCCAGAATACTTGAAGTCCTTGTCATCTTGTATTAATTAACAATAGGAAGGTTTCAAAATACTCGAAAGGTTATGATGATATTTGGTCCTAGAGGGTATCATCAGCCAAGTAGTAGGCTTATAAATGTAAACCCTTGAATTATAAAATTTAGCAAAACAATGGATATTTTATGACAGTTTTGTATTTTTCAGTAACATGTTCCCTGACAGTGGAATACATCTTGTATGTATGGGTATTTTAATGATAGACAGACTAGTGGATATAACCCCACAACAATATTTACAGATATACACAGTAAGTAAACAAAGAAAAAAATGTTGTGATATGACAATTTCAGTGTCAATGTAACTGATATAACTATTTGACAAATGGTTTTCACTTAAAATGCCAAATTTCTTTCATATTTTATGTATGAAAAAGTCTTTTTGTTGTATAACTTTCATATTTCTTTTTTATTAGAAGTAGTTCAAAAGTGTTTCAGACTTGAGTTGTCTTTCTTTGGTTGATAAAATGGAAATGATTTATGATAACATTAAATTATTCAACAATACTTGGCTGTGTTGCAGTAAGGAGAAATGGAGCTTACAGCATATACATGTGGGAGAGGCGGTGGGCGGGTAATAGAAGTTATTGAAATTTTTAACCATTTTCTCCTGCTTGTAACCAAGAGGGTTTCAAACTTTTTTTTTTAATTATTGTAAACACATAAAGTTCATTAAAGATGCATACCTCACTTTCTGTACACATTTGCTGTAGAAAATCAAGTGTCAAAAAAATTCTGTCATGTAAAGTTATAATTTCCCTCCTATTGTAACAACCAAGGACGACAGCAGGCTATAGATGTTATGTGTAAAATTGATTTAAAATGTTAATATGGGAATAAATCCTCACATGTATACCTCAATTTATTTTTCTACTAGCTGTGTATGTTATTGAAACATTAGTCTAGAGAAATTCAGGAGTAGCATATTAACAAAATTGATTGATACACAGAAAAGATTTTTTTTTTTTAATTTAAGTCACCAGGCAAATTTAAACAGACCTTACCGGGTATTTGGATATAAACTTTAATGTGAAATTCATAAAAAAAGTATAATGTTTAAATGGATAATCATTCTTTTAAAAATAATTTCCTCTCACATAATTTTATAAACTGACCAGACATTACTTTGAAATACCATGATGAGATCTGTGGAACACTCTGAAAATGGCTGTATGGAAAGAGTTTTAGTTACATTGTGTTCATGACTTAACTGTTTATCAATATGTAGCAAAGATTATTTTTTTTTAGAATGTTATTATAGGAAACTTCTACTGTAATGCAATTATCTCAATAAATAATGAAAACAAGAATATATTCATTTGCATGTTTATTTCATATTTTATTGAAATTGTTTGTTTGCAGGAAATGAAGACCTGGCCTGGATATGAGGAATCCATAATACATTCCATTTTAACTGATTCTGACACCAAGGATGAAAAATCTCATGATGAGCATGATCTTATAGTAGAACAACCAGAGGAGCATGGTCTCATGGAACATCATGATGAGCATGATCTTATAGTAGAACAACCAGAGGAGCATGGTTTCATGGTACATCATGAGGAACATGATCTTATGGAATATCATGGAGAACATAAAGAACTAATCAAACATCCAGAGCACCATAGTGAGATAATAGAACATGAGGAAAATTAGAGTGATTTGAATGAGCATGGTGAAGAGAGCAATGAAAATACTATGTGATAAAGAGCAAGATGACCTTTCAGAACTTACCGAAAAATATGATACATTGACATAAATACAATGCAAACCATAATAGATCTGAAGAATACTACAGTTATCATATAAATGGTGATGGATGAAATTACTCATAAGGCAGTATTAGTATTACTAGACAGATCAACTAGTATCAATGTATAAGTAAGTTATTTCTAATTACCAGTGAAATGTTTCTGTATTTTAAACCAGTGTATGAATTGAATGATCTCTATCCTGAAAGCAAATGACAGAAAATGTTGAATGATATGGCTGTAAATATTGAAAATAAAATTCTGTCTCATGTGCATCCAATTTTTATTGGACTTAATCCTTTTTCATATCTAGGTCATTGGTTAAGGTCATCTGAAAGTTCTATGGAAAAGTTATACATGTTGTGGACTGAAACTTAATGCTCCTTTTAGTGAACACCTTGATACTCACAAATTCAGTCATTCTCAAAGTCATTTCGAATGATTCACATAACAAGCTAAAAGGTTATGTTACTAAAAAAGTTTTAAAAAAAAGAAAGGAATAGTAATGCAAGGTTTCTTGAAAAACATTGAATGCAACAACATTTTTTATATTTTTTTTAAACGTCTTTCTCCCAAATTGGTGATCAATATGAATAACTGTCAAAATTTTATTAGAAAATACAGGAGTTACAGTTCTTTGATTGATTACCGTTTCATTGCAGTGTAAAAGTCATTGAACTGTCTTCTGGAATTTTTGTAGCAATAAATAGATTTATGCAGTAGTTGCAGATGTCAATATTACTAATGATTGTTCAAATGTTAGTTTTAAATTTTCATGACTAATTATAGTGATGATAGTGAGTAACCAAATAATTATATCTTATTTTGACAAATAGTAAAATTTGTTTGATCAAAATAACCTATAAGATTGCATCATATCAAAATGTAGTTGAAAGCAAAATAGTTCAATATTTGGAAATAAAGCAAGTAATTTTTACACTGAATTTCTAAATTACCTCTTACATAAAAGACCAAAGTGCAATGAGAATGGTCAAAATTGGTAAGGATCAGTGTCGTTATAAGTGTAACAAAATTTAGAGAGTTAATCATGGTCTGCTGAAAAAAGTCTTTGACAATAATGATTATTTGAAAATGATGCAAAATATCCTTAACCCCCCCTCACCAAATGACTGAGAGAGATGCCCCCCCCCCCCCCCCCCCCAAAAAAAAAAAAAAAAGAAAAGAAAAAAAAAGATCAAAAGTGTGTAATGGTTGTGGATGAATAATGAGATAATTTTCTATTAAAATATTTGTTTATGCATGTAATTGAATCCCCAAATTAAAGGTATTTTTTGTAGTATCAATACATGTGGGAGGAAGGGAGATAAGTGTAGGCATTTGGCCAAAGATTGGTATTGATTTGTGGCTGGAAATGTTTCCATTCTAACTATTCATTTAAGTGAAATTTAGAGAAAAAAATGAACAAAAATACTCATATTTATGTTTATGGAAGAAGTTTTAATATTTTTGAAAGCAATGAACCAAACAGTTTTTTTTAACTGTATTTTGAAATCATTTCTCTCAACTGATCAGCTGGTGAAAATTTTCAGCCTATCCTAAAAATGTTATTTTTAGTATAAAGGAGGTCCCCATTCTAAAAATGTTATTTTTAGTATAAAGAAGGTGTAGTGTGATAAAAATATTCTTAGCATCAAATTCAAAACTCACTTAATATCAATCACACTAGTGTAAAAAGTCTCAAATATCAAATATCAAATAATATTATTTGTGTAAATTCCAATACAGGAATGATACCAGCTGACATTTACAAAATACAAATACAACAATAAACAAAAAACAAAGACAAATATACAAAGACATATTTTCTCAATGATAAGAGATGCATATTTTATAGTATAACTACATTGCATGGAGGTATTATTCATACTATGTGTTCTCAAGCTATTACAATAAGCGTTTATACTATAACAGTTCTTAACAACATTATGTTTGCTAAATAAATAAATGTTCTTATCATACATATCGCTTATTCCAGCTACACATACAGTACATATGTTAGTATCATTGCTTTTCAAAATGAAACTAAATTTATCTTGTTCTGATATATTAACAAAAGATGGGACTATATCACTTAAATTACAAAAGAGTATATTTCTATTAAAATCTAACGCTTTACATTTGATGAGGAAATGGAATTCATCTTCAATTCCATCCTTGCAGAGTGGACAAATTCTCTGTTCTATAGGCGTTTTAGTATATCTACTAACTTCTATTAGTAATTTGCTATTACTAATTCTAATTTTTACCATTTTGAAAATAACACTTTAGTCCAGTAGTAGATATTTTTTTAATTCGAAATTATTTTTAACTTTACTATACGTTCTTATTTTTTTACCGTGACTATCTTTATTAGAGTCACAAAAAAGTATGACTTTTATATCAAGACCTGTTGCATACTATGGATTCATTTATTTAAGTTGATTCCAATTTTTGGCTCACCCGGTGATTTTCTCATCACTTTGCAGCTGTTGTTGTCTGTCATTGTCCATCTTCAGTAAATTTATACTAAATCCTCCTCCTCTGACACAACTGGATTAATCGGAATAAAAGTTTACCAAAATTGTCATTGGTGTATCTAGTTTAAAAAATGTGTCTGATGATCCTGCTTGTAAACCAACATGACCTCATGAGGATTTTAACCATTTTCTTTTTGGTTTTTGCCTATTATCTTGAAAATTATATTAGATAGAGAGAAACTTTAAAGGCAAATTAATCAGCTGGACAAGATCTATAAATAAGTTAACATAGCTGAAATTGTCAGTCTACTATTTATAGGAGTTATTGCCCTTTAATGATAATTTTAAACCCATTTTACATATTGGGGGGAGACTATAGTAGATAAAGAAAAACTGGATACAGCAAAAAAATCATCAAAAAAATCACCAAAAAAAAAAATGATATTTTATGAATGATATACAATTCTATTGTTGGAGATTGGCCATTGTTTTGTGTAATTTTTGTGACTGTATAATGTTTCGCTGATATTTTTGATTATTTATCTGTGAGATAACTTTTTTCTAGTTGACATGTAATATAATACAGTGATCCTTCCACTAAATAAAAGAATGTGGACTACATTGTATCTTGTTTCAGAGCAAAAGGCCAACATGATGTTTTCCTATATGTCAATTTTTTTTATAATTGTTTTTTTTTAGGATGGCTTACATAAACTAGATGGCTTTAAAAAGAACAAAAACCTTTTTTTTTTTTTTAGGTTTTATTTCTTTTTATCTAATGCATTACAAGGCTCCTCATAAAATCCTAGCCAGATTTGACAAAGTACATTATCTTTTTGAAGTTCAAAGGTTAATGGAGACATCAAAGGAATGATGCCTGATGTTATAACTTTTGTTTAATGTCAGATGTGGCTGCATTACAATATTTATTAGCCCTCCTGAGACAAAAAATAAAAGGATAGAAAAACTTGAAAATTGAAGAAATTATAATCTTTTTCAATTAAGGATGTTCGCTCTTCTGTTTCAAAATAACAAGGTTTTTAAAAGACTGTTATAGATTGAAAGAATATGAATAAGGGAACTTAAAAAATAGAAAAAAACGATAGGTCCGTTTTCTAGCTTTTGAGATATAATCAATTGAAAATTTGGCGGGAAATGGTTTTCTCTAGATTTTTCATACATTTAACATTGATACCTTTTTCCTTTCAAAAACAATGAAAAAATAACCAGAATTTTATAAAATTTTTAAAAATGACTTTTAAAACTATATGCAATAAAATTATGAAAAGAAAAGTAGGGGTCAGTGGTCAAAATTTTTATTGGCACCACATGGATAAAACTAGAGGATTCCGAATATCTGACAAAAAGTCAAAAACAAGAGTAGCGAACATCCTTAACAGAAATTTCCCATTGCATTCTTTAGAAAAATACGGTTTTGATTTATCAAACTTTCATATGAGTTCTGTATTTGTACTTATTGCCATATATTCAGTGGAGATTTGATATCATCTGAAGATACTGTTATAGGAAATTATGAAATAATTATGTAATTTCTCAAGATAAAATACTCTTAAAGTACTACCAAAGAATGTTTTAATTTGTTTTTGAAATAACTAAATATGATAAATGTCTTTTACATGAATAAAGATGTTTGTACCTGATGATATATGTACTGATAAAAGTGTTCTGCTTTGATGCAAGGTCACCTGGTAAAATATTTATTTGATGTTAAATTAGGGTACAAGTTAATACTAAAATCTAGTTTATTTTATTTACATACCCTGGTCAGTCTTGGTCATAAGTGTCTACTTGCAGAAATAAATGAGTCAATTAACCTTTTTTAAATTTGCATAAGTAAGTCAATTTGTAATATCATGTAATATCTTAAAAAAGCAATACACTGAGTGTCACACTGGTATTATTGTTTCCCTATAAAAAGATTAAAATGTTTATTTGTAATTGTCATCATATAAAGATTTGCTACTGTGACAATATCAGGGATCAGATATTTGTTTAAATTTAAGTGTTTAAAATGAAGTTCTGAAAATCAAAATAATAGGTTTTCAGTAGATATACTTGATAAAAGATATATATCCCTTTAAGATCATTTTAATATTAATTTTCTGATAATAGACATTTTATACCAGATATTGTGTAGGAGAAATCTTACTTGAACCATTGTTTCTTTGAAAAATGTATACTTCTAAGTAGCAAGTAATGTAAAGGTTTTTGTCTCGCCTGCGACAAAAGTAGCAGAATACAAAACATAATGATTACAATCTGGCAGCGGTAACAGTGTAAACTTTTTGCCAGGAGGTAGAATACCTTGATGCCTCAAACCTTGTATGCAGATGCTTTATGTTACAAAGTTTCCGTCTGGCATATGTCCATTGTTCTTGACCTCATTTTTATCGTTCAGCGACTGCTGGAAAAAAAATAATTTTGTAATGTGAATTTCTCACTTATTATGAGTAAAAGGATAACTTTATTTGGTATATGGTATTCCAGGCAAGGTCTACATGTCTGTCAGACAGGATTCACATGACTTTGACCTTATTTCATGGATCAGTGATCAAGGTTAAGTTTATGTGGTCAAGTTTGTATTTCAGATACTGTAAGCAACAGGTCAATTATATTTGGTGTATGGAATGAT